CAAGCATATTAATAAGGAAATCAGTTGGCTGAGAAAAGAGAAAATGAATGTAGCTAGGAAACGGGAATAAAGTGAGATGTTAGAATTTTGGAAACTTTGGAAAGAAATGGAGAAAAATTAATATCAACCAAAAAAGATGACTTTTTTAATTTAAAAAGCGTCAAAGAAATCCATTTCTTCAATTAAAGAAATTTTGCGATTTCTAGCCGTTTATAAGCGTTTGCCACTGCTAAGGCCAGAAGCCTGGTCTCTGGTTTATGAAGGCACATAACAGGAGAGCCTAATAGGTGGGAAGGAGGGCGTCCTATGAAGGTACAGACACATTATATCTGCACCTTTACCGGGATTCGAGCCCAGGACCTTCAGTACAGCTGTCAGTGTCATTAACCACTTTCCCGTTGGGGCGGCGAGCATTGTAAAGTGAACAAAGCTACTGATATTATCTATATCTGTGCTCATTTCTATAGTTATATCTTGTTTGCCTTGACTGTTATGGACATTTGTTTATTCCACAACTTCGGAAGATCGTTCTATAAATATTAAAATTTCATTTTTCCTTTGTAACAGAAGTAGGTAATAATTTATTTTTAATCATATTTTCATCTTTTATTCCGTGAATTATTATTCATTTCTAACAGTACCACCATGAAACGAATTCTGTAATAGTAAAATATAATAATTTTAAAGTTCAGATACTTCCACGTCAATTGTTCTTCATTTAAATACGGAACAGTTGCCAGTCTTCGTTGCATAATTTTTTTTTTTTTTTGCTTCCAAATGTTTACAATTATTTTCGTTATTGTAACAAAGTGAATCATTAAAAACTCGTATGTATTATTTTAATAAAATTTTGAGCCTTTTTAATTTTTGTCATCTCACTTTCAAAACTGAAAGTAGAAATAAATAATCGAATTTTAAAAAATGCTTTTACTATTGATTTCTACACTTTCACATCATTTTTTGAAGTCATTCTCAGTGTCGAAGGAGACTTGTTGTTATTCAGTTTCACATAAATATTTGTGCTGACGTGGTACTAATTTTATTGCACAAACGACAAATTGAAAAACAAATTTTTTCTTCAATGAACGTCAACATTTTTATGTTTATAGCATTTTATCTAATATCTGTCGTTTATAATTTTAGAACTTAATTGTTTTTTTCTTTCGCAATTTTCCATACACAAGAAATTTTACAGGAAAAGAAATAACTTTTTTGTATAAATATCCAAAATTTGAAATTAATCATTTGATCGGCACCTTTCCTTTCTTTTTAAACAAAGGTCGTGTGTTACATAAACAGTAGTTTTACGAAATCCGCTCTTTGTTAAAGATCAACAATCGTCTGATGCAACGTAATGTGTCTAGTTGATGGAATTTCAGAGAGAATATCTGATGCCCCCCCCAAAAAAAAATTAAAGGCGTCAGCGATTTCTGATTCATAGCTGTTTAAACCGGACTGTGAAAATATAGTTGCACAAAGCAGGTACAAGCAGTTGTCCAAGCATAATAAACACTAGTTATTGTGTTTTATGCATGGTTTTCGTCTGCGTATGACATCTTGATTTGATTTCCTAATGCGAATAAAATTTTGAGTAAAACAAGGTGTTGTTATCCTCCAGAAATTATTCATTTGAATTTTTTTCGAGTTTAATCTAGATGTTATAATTCATGCCAAAACAAATACCGTATTTGCCGCGTATAATACGCACTTTTTTGCTTTGAAAATAGGTCTGAAAAACGGGGTGCGTCTTATACGTCGATGCATCGTTTGCGAATGGGTCAAAGTTTCTGAGATGCTGTAAAAACAGAGACAGTCATTAAATCATTCGAGAAGTGTGGTATTAGTAATGCACTGGATGGTACAGAGAACAATTTGTTGTTTGAGGACTCAGATGCTGAGGTTTTAAGTGACTCTTCATTTACAGGGTGATTATAATTAAAGTTGCGATTTCTAAACGCTCTAACTTTAAAACTACTTGTCAGAATGAATTGATATTTTACTAGAATAATCTTTAGGCAATGGAATTTTGTTTAGTGAAGGAAAAAATAGTTTCAAAATATACCGATAGATGGCGCTGTCAGGGTTTACATTTCTGTTGGTATTCAAATTACTAAGACATAACATGAGCACTAAAAAAGGGGAGGGGATAAAAAGGAAAAAAAATCCAAGCTTTAAATTGTGGAATATTAGAGCTAGCGAAAACTATCATCACGTTTGTATATTTTCCAGAACCGTCCCGCAATATTCGTCAGCGGTCTTTCCGAACAAACTGAACTGAGTTCGGATAATCATTCATTCAAGATAAGCCAGATTTCTGCTAGAATAAAAAAATAAATTAAGATACGAAAAGCACTTGTGACTAACAGTACAGAATATTTAAAAAACATGCATTAATATAATAATAAAATAACTGTAAGTACATGTTTACTTTTTTTTCCTGAAAAGATCGTCTAATTTGAGTCACTCCCTACATCGGCTTTTATCTCTCAGAACTTTTTTGTTAACACATTAGTCATGAACTTTAGTTAAAAGAAAAGTACCCTATATAGCGTCATCTTCCGCTAATTAGCAGAACGTAAGCAATTATAGCGGTAGTTTTGAAACGGCATGTACTATTTTCATTTTCTTTTAGATTACACTGTCACAGTAACCTACTTTTAAATGAGTTTCTCCTTTCTTTCGTAATATGTCGTTTTTATTTTGGTAATTAACCATACACGGTTATTCCGTCATTCACAGAACGTTTACGAGAATATGTATATTAGAGGGTTATTGAACAAGACTCTTTTATTAGTTTTCTATTACAGTTATTCAAAACGTAATTGCAAAATCATTTGCGAAAATTAATATTCAATATGGGATACTAAAATACTTGCTAAAATTTACGTCGCAAATTGTCAAGTATCAGCATTTAAAAAAAAATTGAAAAATAATCTGATTCCAATGAAATAGATTGGAACAGCTCATGGCTGAAATACGAATGTAATTCCAAACATTTCGGGTTTGATATATTCCTTTAAAGGGATTTAAAAAAAAGTTTGAATGTTTCAAATTTTAACCGTCGCTCAAAAAGGTTTGTTAAGATTTGTTACGTTTTCACTTAGCTCGCAGTCTACCAGTCTGCTCTTGAACCATATTCGATGTCCATATTCGAGTGGAGGTCTACGTTATTCAAAATTTGATGTCTCTAGGTACCGTTGTTTTTTTCCACAGTGGGAGAAACATACACACATTCATGCAGATTCTTCATTATTCAATTTCTCTAAATATAATGCAGGGCTCTAATATTTGTTGTAAACAATTTGAAAAGTGAAACGTTGTTTTATATTGGACAACCCAAAAGAAATTAATAGCCGTTCTGGGTCAGTTCCCCCTTTGGGATAAAAGGCAACATATATATTACATATACGTACAAATAAACTATGTAAGTATTAGTAATAAATTGCCTAATACTTGCGCTAAAGCTGCTAAGTTATAAAATAATTTATTTGCTAGTAGATTATTGAATATATTATCTCCTTAGAAAAATAAAGTAGGTAAGTTACCATAGTGATAAATTTACTCATTAGCATATTTAAAATTCAATAATTAAAAAACGAAAGTGCATAAAAAAATGAGATACTATTAAATTGTTTAACGAAGCATAAAGCAAATTAGGAAAGTTAAACCGAAAAAAGCAAACTTTAAAATATGAAAAACTCAAATTAATTATTTAAATTTTAATGTTTCAAATCGACTCGTCAGGGGAAATAACTTCAAAAAACAAAACCAGAACAATTAAGGAACACCGAAAACACGTTTCGTTACAAATAATACTAAAAATCCTGTACAAAAATATTTACACCTTTACTCAAGGAATCAAGAGATTACTATGCGATTTCAGATTTCAGTTCTCGAAAACTCAAAACAAAATTACAAAAACTGCGAAGTTACAAAATATTTATAATAGTCAAAAACAATGAATACTGTAAAAAATGAAAATTCTAGATGCAAATCACGTTATCATACATAAAATACAATAACCGGAAAACTTAATCTTACAAATTTGTTACGTAATAAAATTGCCATTTTGTCTAAAAGTAATTTTAAAATATTAGTTTAGTCTAACAAATGTAGTTACAAAATATTTTACCTAAATAGTACGTATATATATATACATATACTATTTAGGTAAAATATTTTTGTTTTAGGTTTTATTTAATTGTATTCGAAATATTAAAATTTTTGTATACTCATGTTAAAAGGGAGAAAAGCGCAATAATTATAAAAAGTAATCAATTAATTTATGGGCAAACATTTTGCGATCTGCATGAAAAGAATGAACTGAAATCTTTAGAATACATGAATTAACCGTAATCTCTATGAAACTTCTTACGTCTTTACCAGTAAGCTGTGATGAATATCAAAACAAAGAGCTAATGATAATAATATTACTCTGTAGTAGCATAGAGAGAGCAGCTTTCTACCTTTTAGAATGTTAATCAGAAAGTTAATGATTGCTTTATTAGAATATCAACTTTGTTTACGTCATTTATTGTTTTGACCTGAAGCGAGAAACAAGATTTTATTTGTATGATTACCAGCAGGTTTGTGTTTCAGCAGATCCGATACTGCTTAAAATCGGACTACTTAAAATTCTTATTTAACATGCATAGCATATATAGACACAATAAGTCAGTAGGCGTTTTTTACACAGTAGGCACAGTATTCAAAATTTACACAGTTTTACACAGTAGTATGCACTTTTTTGTGAGTATGTGTGTATTTATAATATTTATTTGAAATATTTCACACTTAGAGGAAAACAGTTTAATGACTCTTTCCTCTTATTATTCTATAATCTGAAATTTCAGACAGCTGGTTCTCCCTTATTCCTGTCTTTTATTTCTGTAACAGTAAATGGATAATTTTCTTAACTATGTTTTATCTGAATTGTTGACATGTGTCCGGCTTATTAATGAGTTGCAATTCTAATTAATCCTTTTACCTCCCTTTCTTAGATGATTGGAGCGTTGGCAGGATTCGTTAGAGTCATCTTGACTCTAACTCGTCCCTTTTCAGATAAAGTCCTCAATTTTCTGTATCGCATCTGCATGGGAAAGACTCCGCAGTTGCCAGCCATTGATGACAAAATTCTCCTTATGCCAGCCACAGAACTTGCTGAGAAAATTAGGAAAAGACAGGTAAGAAATAATGTAGAAAATCCTAAAACAATAATAGCTACTACTAATACGAAATAGTCTCTGGAGACTTAATAACATAATAATGATAGTAATAGAGGTTTAATAAGAATTAATATCATTAGTAACAATGAACACTTAATAATTTCATCAATCCACATCTACAAAGATTAGAAAGAATCCGGAAAAATCTTCGCAACATCAATCATATCATTAGAGGCGACTTCAACACATCCCCAGTCATGGTACTATAGTGTCACAGATGCAAGGGGCATAACATAGCAGATTTCGTCACAGGAAACTTTCTATACATTTATAACACAGTTTCAGATATACCGACATTTGGCATGGCCTACAGAAAAGGATGGCCACACTTGACGTTTTCTACAAATGGAATGACAAACAAAATGATCCAAACATCTCGGATCACAAATATATTTTGTTCACATTTGAGGAAGATGAGAAAAACTTATACCAATAGATATATCAGGGGTGTTTGTGCTCCGGGGAAACCCCGGAATTCCGGGGATTTTGAACTTCGATACCCGGAAATCGTCGTTTAAAAGGAAGTAGGAATAATAATGAATTATTTATTTTGATCTGGGTAATTTTGTTTGCTTTGAAAGCAGAAAACGCAAGGTGAGTGTGTGTGGTGAAAACTTTTCCTTTCTTTCTCCAAAGGCAGTGATAATGCGTGAAAAGGGGGAAAAAAACTTCTTTTTTGTTCTTTCCTTATTGCGAGGTTTGACTCATTCCCCCGGTTCTAGGACTTTCTCATCTGGATTCTTTTCGGCAAGTAGGCGCTGCAGAAAAAAAAGGGAGAGACTTCGTTCGACCAGATGTGCGATCACGTGACTCTGGGTTCAAAGGTCTTATCTCTCCTGGCGTGGCGCCAACAAGTAGAGAAGGGGAATTTTTCGCCGTATTAGCTATTTGTCACTGATCGCTTCTCAACTTTTTTTCCTCCGCTGTGTAAAATTTTCGTTTCATTTATTGATGCACGTGTAAATTTTTCGTTTCGTTTACTGAAATATTTTTTTATTTATGTACGCAAGAGAATTTCACTATGAAATTTCTCGACATAAATAGTGATATTATACAATTAGAAGAAGGTGTCCGGAATGCATTTAGGTGGAATTGGATTGAACGGAGAGATGGTAATGGGGATACTATCGGCACATGGTGCAAGAAAATAAATGTTGCTGGACAAGCATATTGTGTTTTTTGTAACTCACTGCTGAAGTATGGTGGGGAAGGATTCAAGGCTTTCACAAATCATTCTAAAACTGTGATGCACATAAAATATTCAAAGTGCATTAGACCTTCAATGACTTTAAGTAATAATTCAAAAAATACTGATGACTTACTGGAGACTGATGCTCGGTCATTGGATATAGTGACAAGAAAAGCACGCCAAGAGGTATTAATAACTTCGTTTATCGCCGAGTCAATGTAGCTCCCAATTTAATTGAACTCTGCAAACAGTTGAGCCGCGATCAGACGGCACTAAACTCGTTGGACTACTGCATGTTATAAGATGACTCATCCAGGACTACTGCATGTTATAAGATGAAATATGGGCTCGCAAAAACTATTAAGGAAAATATCATTAAAACTTTAAAGGAGACTCCATTTTCTCTAAATTTGGATGAAAGTACTAGCAATGCTCAAGAAAGTATACTGGCAATATTGGTGCAGTTTTATGAACAACAATCAAAATGAAGTTGTAGTTCATCATTTTGCATCTCTAAAGATGGAATCTTGCAATTCAGAAGCTGTTTTTAAAGCAGTTGTTAATACTATTGATTATAATAATATTCCATGGGCAAACTTAATTAGTGCATTAATGGACTCATGTAACGCCATGCGTGGAAAAAAAAGGGTGTTGAAACCAGACTACGATCAAACAAAGCACCCCACTTATTAGAATACTGATGGTGACAACATGTCACAACAGCTAATAACTGTGCAAAACAATTTGCTTCATGTTTTTGATAGATACTTAGAAGATTTTGTTTGATGACATCTATTTTGAATGAAAAGCTGCAGTAAAAGAGAAAAGTTTTTCAAAATCTGTGAATCCCTTGCCATTAAAACTTAAGCCCTTGAAGAGACCAGACCATAGGTGGGTGTACATTTTATGTGTTTTAGAAAGAATCAAAGATCTGTGGGATGCTCTTATTGCATTTTATTTTCACTACTTGGATAAAACTGATAAAGGGGATTATTTTACGTATGTTGAAACTGTATACAATAAAAGAAATATTTCTGCAGCTCAGAAAAAATTGTTGAAGGGGTGTATTCTTGCTTGCATTCCCAACAACTCACAAAGGATGCTTTAGCTCGGAAAAAAAAGAAAACTAAATGGGTTATTTGTTATGCAAAACAAACTTTATTGCATATGGCATTATATTCAGCAGTATTACCAGAGTGAACACATATATTAAATTATTTGAAAACAAAAAACCAATGCTTCATTTTAATACATTCCAGTATTTATAAATTGATGGCAAAATTTTTCTCTTTTTTTTTATGAAGCCAGAAAATATAGAGTGCACATCTTATAATGATTTATTAAAGGTTGATGTCACAAATCCAGAATTCCATCTACCTAGCAAAGTAATATTTACTGGTGCAGAAGCTTCCACTCTCCTGAAGAAATTATCAAAAAATCATCCAATAGCAAAAGAATTCCAAATTTCTCTGATGAAAGCTTATACTAAGTACAATATTAGCTTTTGAAAAATTATCATCTTTTATGTCCCATATTTTTAGTGATAATGAAAAGTCAAAAGTAGAAGCTGAAATAAGATTATACCAGAGTGATATTGATATCACCAAAGAAATGCTCTACACATCTGATGAAAGTGGAAATCAAGTCAAGTGTACAATTGATAAATATTGGTCTAAAGTTTTTAATTTAAAAGATGATTTCACAAATGATTATAAGTATCCTACATTGTCTAAATTGGTCAAAGCCTGCCTTAGCTGCTTCCATCGCCCATTAGTGGAAAGTGCATTCAACTTAATCGATACACTTGTCACTGACTATAGAACCTCTCTTAAGATTGATTCCCTAGATGCAGTGCAGACTATTAAATATGATTTAATGGCTTCTAAAGAAACCTCATGTGAAAATATAGGGCTCAAAAAATCCAATGACTGATCCAATTCACAAAGATCTCTTACTGAATATGAATAGAAGTTGGAAAACATATCAAGAGGACTTAAAAAACATGTATTCAGATGAGTCACCTATAAAAGTCTCTGAAAAACCTTCTACATTAGCAGAAAAGCAAACTGCTTCTACCTCTGCATGTGCAGTTCTCGAGGAAATTTCTTCAACTGTAAATGAGGAAAATAAAAGTCAACCTTCCTTCCTGCAATTATGAAGTTCACCACAAAAGAAAGACAAGCCCACAAACATCAGAAAATAAAAAAAAGCAGCAGAAATTAGATAATTTTTTTAAAGAATTAATTCAGGTAATTTAAAATATTTACATAAAATGTAATAGTTTATATGTTTGAAAATTTATGGTTATTAATTTTGCAAAAAATGTAATTCATTGAACTTTTATAATTAGGTCATTCAATACTTCATAATTGTAATTTTTTATTTCTCTCCCCCCCTTCTCGAAACTCCAAAATGTCGGTAGTAAGTCAGTAAAAGTTTCAGGGGATTTTTTGGGGTCCCACAAATACCCCTGATATATGCAATGGCAAAAAAGCAGGCAGTTTGGAACGAAAATACGCACTAATTTGAAAGATGCAGAGCACCTCCTAGACTAATATATAGTTGTTGAAAAAGCAAAAGTAATGATAATAAGAATAATACAAGAGACCACGCTAAACGTATTTAAGCTGAGAATTAATGGGAAAAAAAGTCAGAGCAAATTGGTGTTCTAAAAAAAATGGGGGAGGGAGGAAGAGCAAAACTTCACAAAAGACCTCAGACATAAAATTAACAGTGTTCCAGATCAACAGAAACAAGAGGCATGGATCAAATGTAAAGCGCAAATAGCATCCTACAAAAAGAAGATAACAGAAGCAAAAATGAGAAGCTGAAAAGATTTTTGGGCTAATATCAATAAGACTTACGGTCAACTGTATAAAATGGCGACGTTTTTTCCAGAAGAAAAAAACGGGCAGTTGTACCCATTAAATGAACTTGGGGAATAATAACAGCAGCCATCACTTCAGCATCTGCACGTAAATGTCCAATAGGAAGTATCTTTTTCAGTTGCCAAAGTACCAAAGAATTCAGAAATTCCCGCCTTTTATAAGCTAAATACAGTTAAACCAACAGTTAAGCATCTCAGCCAATGAAAAAATTTCACAGTGAGAAGAGCAGCCGATCATAAAATTTCTCTTGCTTGTCAAACAAACTAAACTGAAATGAGCTCTCCTTTGATGAAATTGCTTACTCATGCTACAAGAAAGAAGTTGGCTAATAAGTCTGTCGCCGACAGAAACTGATTAAATATTTTCACTGTTCGCATCATAATCTCATGCAGTCTCTCAGTTGTTTTCATAAGAGTTGCAATAATTGAAAAACTCAAAATGAATGTGAGGCCCACCAGTGGCCGAGTGGTAACGTCGCTGAACACTGGTAGTTCGGTCCGAGTTTCGAATCCCGCGAACGGGCTGGCTGCATGGGTGTTTTCGTGGTTTTCCCCATGTGTAACGTGTATACGAGCCAGTTTCCCTTAAAAAGTCCTCCACGAAGGCATTCCTCTCTTAAGGCATATAGCTCTCGAGTGCTTTGCCGTAATCTAATAAACCAAACCAACCAAAATGAATGTGACCTCGTCAGAAAAGAGTTTTAATTAAAATCGACGCGATAGACAAGCTTGCTGTTTCGACTAATTTTAAGTTGGTCTATGTTCTTGTAGATACTTTTGCCAACATTCGGTTTTCAAAAGAGAACTTTTTTAGCTATAATCTTTTAGTTTATGATTGAAACAAAAGTTAGTTTAGCAAAGAGAACTTTTTTAGCTATAATCTTTTAGTTTATGATTGAAACAAAAGTTAGTTTAGCAAAGAGAACTTTTTTAGCTATAATCTTTTAGTTTATGATTGAAACAAAGTTAGTTTAGCAAAGAGAACTTTTTTAGCTATAATCTTTTAGTTTATGATTGAAACAAAGTTAGTTTAGCAAAGAGAACTTTTTTTTAGCTATAATCTTTAGTTTATGATTGAAACAAAAGTTAGTTTAGCAAAGAGAACTTTTTTAGCTATAATCTTTAGTTTATGATTGAAACAAAAGTTAGTTTAGCAAAGAGAACTTTTTTAGCTATAATCTTTTAGTTTATGATTGAAACAAAAGTTAGTTTAGCAAAGAGAACTTTTTTAGCTATAATCTTTTAGTTTATGATTGAAACAAAAGTTAGTTTAGCAAAGATCGTATGATTTAATAATCTGTGGCAAAGCAACAGCTTGTTGTAAAATATGTATTAAGATGAGAAGCATGATTAATAAACACTAAATCATATTTTAATGAGAAATAAATATCACCATGCGGATTTTTAATTGCGGGGCTGTACTTGTGTTTTTAAAAAATTTAGTTTTTAAAAAGTTTCTTGCCTTACTTTAAAATGGATATAGATTATCAGTTATTAGTATAGCTTAACTTATATTTGTTAATCTGCAGTTTAATTGTCCTTAAAAATGCTTCACGGATTTATTTAATATGATGTATTAGTAAACTTTTAAGTTTAGAACAATTATTTTAAATAATCCTTTACATTTACTCTCTATGCAGACCTCCCTTATTTAAAAGTATACCTCTATCACTTTTATTATCTTTTTGTCGACTTTAATGGTGTTATCAGATCTAACGACGCGTGACACTAGGAAAACTTTTCCGAGAAACAAGCTTCTCTTTCTTCCTAAAATTAAAAGATTTCTAGCCGAAACCGTTTCACTGGAACTGATGCCCCGGCTAGCTACGAGGAACATTTTGCAGTAAACATGAAAATACCTCATAGGTTTTCCTCAAAGATTTGTGTTCCGCGTTAAGTCAACCAATCAGATGTCCCGAAAGCAAAAGTTCTCAGAAATGTTTCTTTTGTAGCCCTGCTGAGGGCATGTAGTAAATGTGATACCAGTTCAACAAAAACAGAATAGGAACTAATTACAAGAACGGTGCCCATAAAACTTCCCAGCAAATAAGCAACTAATAGCTGAAGTCTGTTGCAGTTTATAAATTAAATGTTAAATTTAATTGTAATGAAAGATAATCGTAATTCCATTTTAATTCGTTACCGCGGGAAGGAAAGACATAAAATGTACCCAAACATAATTTTATTACTAATTCCGAGTAACATGCAGTACATTATGATCATCAGCAGGCAAAAAAGTGCAAATAGGTCTGTCTGCCTGTCTTCGAAGGTAAGAAACATTATCCTAATTAATTTTTCAGAACAAAATTAAGAAGAAAAACAATTTAGATTAACATATATTTCATATAAAGCTGTTTAGAAACAGATATCTCCTATCTTTTATAACTATTTACAACTAGGTATCCTAACTATTTATAACTATTATAATCATTTATGACTATTATAACCATATAGCCTTATCATAACTAGATACCTCCTATATAGGCAGCGAAAAAAATCTGAAAAAGAATATTTTTCTCCCTTTTTCTTAAATGAGAGAGACTTATGTAACTCGAAAGTGAAATCGATTTAGTTCCATATCAAATTAAGGCCAATCTAAGCCTGAAGTTTTGGCTTGTTTTTAAATTTAATGTTACCATATATCTTTTGAGTATATTTCCTTGTTGTTAGTTGAGCAACTGCTGTGAAAATTAGAAACTCGGGAAACACATAAACTTTCAAAATTATGGAAAGAAATTTTCAAATAAGTTTTAAAACAGTATTTCGAACATTGTAGAGTTCATTAGAGCAGAACAGCATTTTGACATGTTTATTTGGAAGTACGAGACATGAGAAATGCCTTCGCTGGGACTCGAATCTCGGACCGCTTGCCATTACACCATGAAAGCAGGCTAAGAAGGCGGGAGAAATACCTTATATACTCTTCCTTTTAAAGGGCGACTGGGGTTTAGGGGACCGAATCGCCAAATCCTGGTGGTGAAGAATCATCATTCACCACCTTTTAGTTCGAGCGCCACTGTTGAGAGACATTAAGTTATTTAGAAGCAGGAGGCATGAGCAATGTTCTCACCGGGACCCGAACCTCGGACCTCTATATACGCGCCGAGTGTGCTGGCCATTGCACCACGAAGGCACACTAAGAAGGTGGGAGAAATACCAATAATTTCGAAATTAAATCTCAGAAAATCAGGAGTGATCCACTGAATTCCAACTGTTGCTGCAATTATTTGTGCAGTGTAAAAGCAGGATGAGTTAAAATGTAGAACATTTCTAGTATCCTTTTCAAACTGAAATATCGACTAGATCTCGAACTTTTAAGTAGTCATTTAATTTGGTAACCTCTGAGACATATCGTCAAGACTTCATAACTATTAAATGTAATAGCTCCAAAATATTCAGTGTTTCAATGTAGAACAGAAGCAATGAACAAAAATACATTTTTTCTCAATAGCACAAAGCAGGTCGCGCAGATGTCAAAACAAATATATGCATAACTAACTCTATCACGATAACTACTTCTAGTGTCATCAGAATAACTACACAATCTCTATCCCAGTAACTACTTCTGAAGTGGAAGGGCAAAAGCTATAATAATGGAAGTTTAAGTATAATTATCGCACTATGCATGCGATCCATGCGCTAAATATTACTTCAAGACCCATTTCAGGATAGAACTCGGCATTTATTCAGCATAGTTACATATAGGACTCATCTGACCTTGCATAGGGCATGGTAGTCTGTGGGGGCTATGCATATTTAGAGATGGGGCAGTAATTCTGTTTCTCGTGTTTTTGGTATCATGAATTTATCATGAGTATATTACAATGATAGCGTTTCCACGTTTGTCAGTCAGTGAAAAGATTAATATTTGCAACTGACATATGCAGCTCCCGTGAGTTCTCGAGTTTGGTAACTGCAAATTTCAGTGCGTGTTAAATGCGAAATGTTTCTTAAAAATTATCTATCATGATCTGCTACCTGTGGAGTCTGACAGTCGAAACCCATAATATATTCTTTTGCTGATACACCTCACAAAGCGCAGCGACTGTAATGGGTCCGAGGATATCGAAATTTTATCCTAGAACACTAACAGTCCTCTAACTTGATCTAGTGAGTAAAGGTTCAAGTTATTTTATGATGAGTGGCGTTATGGAGGTCACATGAAGAAGGAGCTTTCCTTTCTGCAAAGCACTGTTCAAAATGACTGGATTATGATTTTGCGGTGTATGTGCTTCTTTTACAGTATACACTGAACCCTGCCATCCATAACAGACATTAAATGTATAACTACTAAAAAAATGTTAGGTATAAATGGCGTACATCTGTCAGTAGTTGATAGATGTACCTCATACATACCTGATATTTTCTCAGGTCACGTGCAGCCCGTCATGTGTATAGAATACCCTGGTGGAGATAGAATACCCATTACAAGATGGATCAAGGAATATATCAATAATTTTAGACCTACGATTTGCCCTCTATACAGTAATATGTACCCCATGGACCATATGCCGTATGTGGCACACAATTAGGAGAAGCCCATGAGTTCAGCAACGTATATCCGCCAGGTTAGTTACCTCTTCTTAATGTTCCTTAAAATAGTTTTAGTTCTAGGCTTCGACGTGTGGCTCAATATTCACGAAGAAAAATAGTCTATTAGCGGATGCCTAGCTCATGACTTTGGGCCTCTCGGTGTTAAAGAAATCTATAATTATAATCTATAATTAAATTATTATTAATAACAATAAATTAATTGAAAGGCATTAAACCGAGTGAAATTAAATGAATGAAACACGTTTTAAGACGCATATCTATTATGTGTTTTATTCGCTGCATCCGATGAACTAACTATATCTCATTAATCTTGATCAATGTTTGTTATTATGATTGATTCCTGAATTATTATTTTCTAGCTAACTTGTGAAGAAGTGATGAAAGCTTACGTTATGCGGATCAAGCTAGTTCAACCAATTATCAACGCCGTCGTAGATGAGCGATACGTTGAGGCTCTGAACGATGCCATGGAAGTTGACCGCTTTCTGGCCAGCGGACAGAAGTCTGAGAAAGATATCGCACAAGACACTCCATTGCTAGGGGTACCCTTCACCTGTAAAGAAGCCATCGGTGTGAAAGGTGAGATTATGAACGTTTTCTAGATAAGAAACATTTATCATTCACTATACTACAGTTGTCTCTTCTGAATTATTAAGGACGTTGTCATTATTGTTGGTTTATATGAATTCCAAGATGGAAGTCTCGCGCGTTGGAGATAAAAATGCTTTATTTAGAAAAGGGTTGCTACTGCTAGCTTTCAAATCGCAGAGTTTGTCAATTAAAAATTTGTAAGTTTTTAAAAAAATATGAAATAAATATAACATTGCCAAACATTAAACTTATTATTATTATATATAAACTTATTACATATTCTGACACTGACGAAAGCACGCGATTGCATGTGACGTCACTGTATGTCGAAAATTGTTCGTTAATGTCAGCATTTTAAATAAATAGCTGCTGTTGGTAACTTTTTAGTTTCAGTTTAGTATAACTCACACGATATATTATTGCCACGTTAATTCTTTTATTAATATTGAGAAGACGTAGTTATATTACATTAAATTTAAATCATGACGTCATACGTACTAACCTGAAACGTCAAAAGTTTTCGTTTCCTGGTTCGGCAATAAAAAAAAGGCTAATGTGTACATCACATAACTTCCTTGTACGGAATATTAAATTATACGCATTTTTCCTGCATTTCATTTAAACTTATTGAATTGAATTAAATCTACTTCGTCCATAAACCATAATAGAATAAATGCACTCTTTAAAATTCACTGTATTTATTTACCATAACGACACTTAATAGCGTTACATCTCATTCATTTTATAACTCAGAATGCACAAATATTATATCATCTGAAGAATTATCTAATCGTTGCCACATGTTCTATTCAAATACGATAATAAATGTAAATAAATATAAAACGATGTATAAAAGAAATTAAACAAATAAAAAATAAACAGTGTTTCACAGATTATTCCGTGCAGCTTATCTAATGTGCATGCGCTACTAGTAAACATTCTTCTCTATCCTTAAGAAAACTGGCAACAATATTTGTTGCTAATGCGAAAATCATATTTCCTCGAATTTCATTAGAGATGTATTTCTCTTTCAATTAATTCAGTTCTCACTTCTCGAAAAGGCAAAAATACATAAAAACTCGAAATATTTTTATTACAGATTGAAAGACATAGCAAAACATAAAGCACCGAGTGCAGTTAAAACAGCTAAAACAACAAATTTATAATTAAAATTGCAATTTCTACGCAAAAACAAGCAATTTGGCCAGCAGGCAAGGCATATTATTAATTTTTATATTTTTATTATCTTTTATATTTTTCCCCTTTTGCATATTTTTAGATTTTGTAATACTATGAATTCTTAATTTAATTTTGATTTATTTTTGATATTGTGTTAAACCTCTTACATACGGCTGCAATTATTAATATTGTTGAGGATTGTCTTGCTTGGACTCCAATACACTTTTAACTTTAGATGCTAAATCTATATACATATATATATATATATATATATGTGTGTGTGTGTGTGTGTGTCATATTAAAAGCAAAGGAAAAGCCGGAGCAGTGTCGATCTGTGCTTAGATTCATATTGAAGAAGAATTTTGATTGCGTAGTATTTAAAGAACTTGGCAGTCGAGGCAGTTTTAATTCCATTTTTATTTGCAACTGATATTTGTGGCCACAATCACTTGGCACTCTAGTCGTGCCTTTCCACAGAAGATTTACATTTTTGATATTGTTGGGATAGAAAGCAAGCCAGCGAAATTACATATTAGCAGAGTAGAGAGCAAAAGCTGAAGTGCGTAGTTATGAAGGATGGAAGCACGCGAAGAGAAAAGTTTTGGTTTACAAGGACAGTTTCAGTTCTTAATTATTACGTCATCAGAGTTGCGCGGACCATAGAGTGATCTAGAAATGACGCAATGCAGAGAAGTTATTACGATTTTAGAATAGAGAGGAAGAATTAATGTTTATAGTTATATTATAATTCTGATTCATACATTTTTATCTTACATATTGTTTTATCAAGTGCTTCTAAAGTGATTTATTTAGTGTTCAAATTGATGTGCATGCGAACTCTTAAATTCAAGATTTTGTGATTGGAATGTTAACACGCTCAAAAACGGCAAAAATGTCAACTGATAAGAAAGAATCCGTAGCTAATGTGGATACAGTGAAATTTCAATTCCCTATTTTTGATGGCACAAGTACAAATTTTCCAATAGACAAATATCTTCTGTTGTTTGAAGAGAAATGTGCCGCAAAGAACATTCCAGAAAAGGAAAAGAAATTTGTTTTCTCAGAGTGTATTAGAGGAGAGGCTTTAGCCCTCTATTTACGTGATTGTTTAGATAAAGACTGGGACAACATAAAGGATATTTTCGAGACATACTTCACAACATCGGAATCTGTTACTTTTAGTGATTTTTGTGTCTTTAAAATACGAGAAATTTAATAATATTGATGTTTATTTTCGTAATAAGTTGAAATTAGGAGCCAGCTTGAAACTAACAGATTCCACAATGGTGGAAGCACTTACGGAAGGACTTCCTGAGTCTCAAAGAATGCTGTTAACAGTGCAAAAAATAGACACACCGAAAGACTGGATTACTCTTGCTAGGAAACTGTTTCCAGTTAAGATGCCATTAGATGGTCTAGGAAATAGTAATTACCAATTTGTTTCTCCAAGGCAAACTGTTCCGAAGTGCTATTATCCCAGACCAGTGCAAGCCACTCCTTATCAAAGTTTTCGTAGTGTGAGACCTTTTAATTATCAACAAGTGCAATACCGACCTCTACAGTATGCGTATCGGCCAATTCGATATCCACAATTACCTGCTATTAATTATAACACAGTTCCTAAAAGAGAAGTTATTGTGATTTTAGAATAGAAAGGAAGAATTAATGTTTATAGTTATATTATAATTCTGATTCATACATTTTTATCTTACATATATATATATATATATATATATATATATATATATATATATATATATATATATAAGAACAGTTACTGGAACTGTTGTCTCTTAGAAAAATAAAAATCAAATATATGTAAGACAAGTAAAGAATATTTAAAAGATCAGATTAACAACGTAACTTAATTTTCCTTTTGTATTATAAAAATAGTAACCTTTATTTGAACTGCGTCATTTCGAGATCTATGTTAATATGATTCTTACGTAATTCTGATGATGTAAATGGAACTAAAACAGTCAATAGTAATTTTACAGCAATTTTAACTATCTAATCAAAATGCATTGAGAACGAAAACTAACTCAGTCTGAATTAAGATTTCATTCTGAACATAACACACTTGGTTTCTATGCTTTGGCCTAGCTTGACTGCAGTCTGTCTGCTCCTTCTTTTTTACTGCAAATTTATCTAAAATGTATACTTTTTGGAATAAGCGCAATTAATGCACCCACTTGTTTGTTTGCTGAAAGAAAAAATGAAGATTTAATCTGCCTTCGCTTCCAGTTTCCTATTTATTACGGATCAACACTTCTTCGCCATCAAAATTTCTCCTTGTCAATACTTCTGAGTTTGATTTTATCACACACACACATGCACACACATATATTACTACGACGACCAGGGGGGTCGAATTCATTAAGTAGCAGAAAGAGGGAGCAGCGAGATGTAAGATGGACATTGCTGCTTGAATGTGTTAAGTAGAATTAGGGATTTTAACTCTTTTGCATCAGTAGAGGCTAAAATCCTTTACGCATTTAAAACGCCCGTATCTACGAATTTTTGTTAGAATAGAGTTCCTCCCCCTTGCCAAGTAGAATGCTGCAGCGTTAATAATAACTTAGGTGATCTTTGTACAATTTCACCCACTGTGTGCAGTTTCTCTTTAGGACATGATTTACAACTGCTAGCATCAATAGTTAAACGTTGACGTTAAACAAAGCAGAGGGAAGGTACATTCAAATAAGAGAGCCAAGTATATTGGCTTCAAAAGAATAATTGACATGTCATTTAACAGCTTCCGAAACCAATTAGCCTCTGCACTATCGTGATGGGGAAAAGCACCACGTGGAAAAGGAACGCAGGCGTCCGGGCGATCTGCCGATGTTTGGATTCACGGGTGTTTGCGGCGATTTCGTTTCTTTTATTAAAATGTTGCTGAAAAATGCAAACGATAATTTTGCAGTCAGAATTTTCTTGAATAACAAATAGCAATATAGCATAGCATCTAAAGACGCTTACAACACAATTTGCGCAACTCTCGTTAGATGTCTGAAGGTGTCAGATGGTAATGATTATAATGATTACGTAAGTTAAATGGCTAAAGGCACCTGCAGCAACTATCATTTTTAGCATCTATGCCTACCTTTAGAGCATCTGGGTCTCCAATAATAAGGAAAGGGTTAATGTTTTCAGTCCTTTGAAATACCACACAATTTTAATCTCGGTGTTTCTCTCTGAGGCATTAAATTTTACAACGGACGTTGTTTCTCAGTTTGACAAAAAAACTGTAAAATATCCGAACGTTTCGTTTCTAAACAAGTTTCTATTAATAATTCTGTGTTTCAGTTTTTAGCATTTACCCGGAAAACACCAATTAAATCATTACCGAATCATTAAACATAAAAAATATTCTAATTTTTCCTTTAATGTACTTGTAAATGATTGATTGAAATATTTCAGCCATACTCTAATCAGTATGCCTGAAGAAGCTAATATTATTATTATTACGTCAAGCGAAACATTCGAGATTGCTTTAAAGTGTTTCCTAATCTCAATTTCTTCTGTATCTTAGAATAATTAACTTACCTAACTTGAACGTGCTGTAACTTATTAAACAACTAAGTAATCCTATTAGTTAAATCATTAATATGATCTGCATGTAAATTATAGTTATTAACATGAATCACATTTTTATTTCTGCTTCAGGCAAAACTGTTTCTGCATTCGAAATTTCTACTTTCTAGAATCTGTAAATTACGCGAAGTTATGGGAGCAGTCAGGCATTATGTTTAATCTGTTATGGTTTAATCTGTAAATAGTTCAAAATATGAAACACCGAATCGGATTAAAATTCTGCTTTAAATCCAAACGCTTGTATTAAAATACCATAAAACGTCTGCATAGAATAGAAAGATTGGAATATAAAATAAAATTCTTACATAACTGAATACAATACAAAAGTAAACAATATTATAAATTTTATAATATAACCATAAAAACATCTTGCACTGAGAATACATATTATTTTTCGCCGCCCAACCGGGATACTGATTCGTGACTGCTGCACTGAAGGGCCCGGGTTTGAATCTCGGAGAAGACGTGGATGTTTATATAGTGCCTCTGCATCATGGGGCCACTCCAAATATGCAGTGAGCTGAATGTCCTCTCGAGAGGCTGGTTTACTTTCTTTTTTGATACCTTTTGTATACTACCGATTGTATTCATTTTTTTTTAAAGTATTTTTTATTTTCTCATTTTCTATTTTGTTTTTATGTACCAAATGTAACAAATGAAATTGAAATCTTTGAAATATTTTTGAAAGTCAGTTATAAATATAAATGTCAATTGTTTATTTTATTTCAAATATTTTAAATTTCTCAGCGTAGAATTTTCTTAGTAAAACCTGGGAGACTTTGAAACACGAATTCGATTTTAGCGTCAACGATTCGTTTTAACGATTCTTCTATTTTATATCTGTTTAAATAATAAATCATGACCTAATAGTTAAGGCTGTAGACATAACTTGATATATTCAAATCTTCTTTCATGTATTGTCATTCTACTTGTTAACGTTATTTGTAGTTGCCATCATGAGAATGCATAAAGCAGACACTATTAAAAGAACGCTGGTTTTTTTTCCTTGATAAGTATCTAGTACTTCCTGCGTTTCAAGCGTGCGTATCCGGCAAGGAAAAGTTGATAGCTTAATCGAATGTTTCAGCTACGCTCACGGAAACAAATCACCGACCTCAAATTTTGTCACTAATTTCAATGACACGAAGTCAATTTTCTTCAAGTTTATACAACGAATTGTACATTGCGTTGTCCTTTCGGTAAAATAATCGTTTTACGAAGAAAATATAACGTGACACAAAAGACTGAACGAGCACGAAACTTTAATTTGCCTGTTTAATTTATTTGGAGAATATGCAATTCAGCTTTGAGGTTCTTATTCCGTTCTTGAATGAAAGAACTTCTTTTGTTAGTAAGAAACAGGTAACGGTTCTTAGAGAAGTCAACATTTTCCATTTATACAGTGTCTCACAAAAGTGGTGGGACACCTGTGCTTTACAAAAGGAAACTGTAGTAAAATAAATTAAGAAAACATGTAAAAATGTTTTGTGGGCGTGTTTCATACTTAAATTTAGTAACAATTATTACATAACATACATTTTCTCAAAATATTAAACTATTAATTTAATAAAAATACAATTGTTTAGAACGGAGCAAAAAATGGCTCACATAAGTGATGGGACACTTACTTTTCCATCAAATATTTATCCAAAAATTTTACTTGTTTAAGGTTTTAATATTTTGTTGGATTTCCTTTTACTTTTAAAACATGAGTTAATCTTCTTGGGATGGATTCGACTAATTTTTTTGTGATTTCTGGAGTGATTTTACCCCATTCTTCTTAAAGCACCGATTTTAATTGCTGTTTTGTAGAAATGATGTGTTTGCGAATTCTTGATTCCAATTCTTGCCAAATATTCTCTATGGGATTTAAGTCTGGAGATTGTGGTGGTGTTTTTATTATTTCAGGACAGTTATACAGCAGCCAGAGTCCACCGTTCAAAGCAGTGTGCTTGAGGTCATTATCCTGGTAGAATTTAAAATCGTTATGAAGGTTCAGTTTTCGTGCTGAAGATTTCAAATTTTGATTTAAAATGTCAATATACTTGTACTGATCCATTATACTGTCAATAAAAACAAAATTACCAACTCCAGCGGACGATATACACCCCATACCATAACTCCTCCTCCACTATGTTTTACTGTTGGCACCAAGTTCTGTTTGCAGAATTCTTCCCTGGGTTTTCTCCACACTAAGATTCTACCGTCAGAACCAAATATATTAAATTTACTCTCATCAGCAAATATAACTTCATTCCAGTAAACAGAATTCTTATTTATGTTGGATTTTGCGAAAGCTAGTCTGAGTTTTCTATTCTTTTCACTTACGAAGAATTTTTTCCTGGCTGCTCTACCGTGATATCCAGCAGATCGAATTACTCTTCTAAGAGTTTTAGGATCAACAATTACTCCATATAATGCTTGTAAATCAGCAGCAACTTTAGGAGCACTCATTCTTGGATTTTTTTTAAATATTTCGAACGATAATTCGCTTTATTCCATTGGATAGCTTTGATGGTCGGCCAGGTCTTCTTTTATCCTGAATCATATGATTCATTTTATATCGTTTAATGATATTAAAACTGTTGAATGACTCAAGTTTACTGTTTCAGCAATTTCTCTAATAGATTTTCCACGTTCAATATGAAAATTAATAACTAATTTTCGAATTTCAGGCAGAGTTTCTTTTCGTTTAGCATTCATGGCTGCACAGAGCTAAAAACCACAAAAATTCCAAAACAAACTGGAGAGAAATACTTAAGACGATTTTATAAGTTATTGCCAATTTCTTTTAAAGTAAAAATAAAAACCCCAAAAAATATTTTATTGTAGTACGTAGTAGTATCTAATGGTGTCCCATCACTTATGTGAGCCATTTTTTGCTCCGTTCTAAACAACTGTTGTTTTATTAAATTAATATTTTAATATTTTGAGGAAATGTATATTGTGTAATATTTGTTACTTAATTTAAGTATGAAACACACCCACAAAAAATTTTTACATGTTTTCTAAATTTATTTTATTACAGTTTTCTTTTGTAAAGCACAAGTGTCCCATCACTTTTGTGAGACACTGTATTTAAAACACGCAAAAACAGCAAACCTTCACCGATTTCGCACGGGTAGTGCACCCCTGAATTCGGCGATGCAACTCGTCCCAGAGGTTCTCGATAGGGTTCAGGTCGGGACTCTGAGCAGGCCAGTCCATTCGATAAACTCCATTGGCACCATACCAAGCCTTGGTTAACGTCGAAACATGACAACTAGCATTGTCGTCCTGAAAGTAACAGGGGTCCAACCCGTAAAACTGCCACAACGTAGGAAGCACATTGTCATCCAAAATAGTGCAGTGGGCATCGGAGTTGAGCTTACCATGAATGGGGATCAAGGGTCCCGGCCCATACCAGGAGAAACACCCCCAGACCATAATTCCACCTCCGCCGAACTTGACTGTTGGTACAATGCATTCTGGCAGGAGACGTTCTCCAGGTAGACGCCAGACCCAGACCCTGCCATCCGAATGGTAAAGGGTGAACCTTGATTCGTCACTCCAAAGAACCCGTTTCCACTGATCTACGGTCCAATTTCGATGTGCTTTGCACCACATTAACCGAGCAGCGCTGTTGGACTTTGTGATCAAAGGCTTATGGGCAGCAGCACGACCATGAAAACCAAGCAGATGTGCTTCCTTACGGATGGTATTCATTGAAACAATACTCCTGGATGCCTGTTGAAACTCCTCGCGGATGAGGGCCATCGGTTGGGTGCGATTCTTCCGAATTTCTCTGGACAGCTTCGTCGGTCTCTATCTCCCAGTTTCGTTGGTCTGCCGACTCGGGGCACATTCCAACAATCACCGGTCACCATCCACTTCTTAATCACATAGGCCACTGTCGATTTTGGGTACTTCAGATCGCTAGATATGTCCCTTAAGGATCGGCCTCATTTGTGATACCCGATAATTATACCTTTCTGGAAATCAGAGAGCTCCGAACTGCGAGGCATCTTGCATGCGACTAAAACCGATGCTGTTTCCTACACGATATATACCGGCGGAGTCCGTAACGTACCTTAGGACTGCAGATATCGTCATTTGCATAGGCGTCCAAATACTTATTGGTAGTCAGTGTATTTAAATACTTTTTTTCAATTTAGTTTTGAGACCCATTTTATTCTAATAGACTATTCCATTTATTCATAGTTTAAGTTGCGTCTTTATTTATTTGCTGTTTTATTTAATTTCTACGACGTTTTTCTCCGAATTGCCGTGAATATCATATTGATACCTTTCGAGACGATTGTTAAAATTTTTTCTGTATTATATATTAATGTACTAGAGCATATATTCACTCATTAGCTATCTAACCAACTGCTTTCTCAACCTGTGACGAAAAATGAAATACTAAATTTTTTTAAAAGATATCGTGTGAACTCTACACAAAGTCGGTTGGAACATCTTGAAGTCATCTTGATCTTCTACCCTTTCCTTCTAAGCCGAATAGACACACTTAAGCGTCTATCTAGTATATGAAAATTTTTTGCAATAATAGAAGAAGGAAATAATTTTGTGTGTGTGTACTATGATTGCACGTCTCTTCGCCAATTCTGAGCAATAAAATTAATTATTAAAACATGAAATTCTGTACTACTATATTATATTCACAGATCAGAGCAATGCCGCACTTGTTTCATTTTTATAAGAAAGTAACTAAAACTTTTCTTCTTAGGCTTGGCTCAGACTTGCGGTCAAGTTCGGGACAAAGACAGGAAAGCAGTCAAGGACTCGGATACAGCTGCTTTGTACAGAAAAGCCGGTGCCATACCAGTGACGGTAACTAACGTTCCAGAGTTATGTATGTGGTGGGAGAGTGCTAACCATGTATTCGGTATGACTAAAAATCCTTACGACATCAGAAGAACAGTCGGAGGCAGCTCAGGTAATACTCGTAATTCCCCATTTGCGTTTGCTTGCGTAATGGTAATTCTTTGCTCGATTTCGCTAAAAGTTTCTTTAAAGATATATCGCATTTGTGTGTACGAATTACAAGCCATAGATAAGAAACAAAATGAAGTAAACTTGTTCTGTGAATAGGCTTTAATCGCAATCTTCACTTTGCCAACATTTTGGCAATGTGAAGATACATCGATGATAAAAAATCTCTGGTTTTAAAGCCGATTAAGTTCTGTAGCCTCTTTTGAGAGACTAACGATTATTGAATTATCTATCCCGTGTGTAGTTATCAGATGAAAGCTAAGTAATCTGTTGAAGAGCTATCAGAAAGCAGAAGGGAAGGCGATAAATTTAAAGACTTAACTTGGACCAGATTCTGAAGCTTTGCAAGACCGCGCTTTGTTTAGAACAAAAGTGCTGCCCTGTGATTATTAATTCCAATTTTGATGTGGGAGTCTTCTGCAATATACTATATAATGGGTGCAATGACGATTTGACAGTGCTCTAATAAGTGCTTGCGAATTACATAAATGTTGTCCAAAAGACAGAAAGCTTTCTGTTGGTGATAATCACTGACAAAATACATGTGTCAAGTTACAAGAAACTTAAAATTTCTTTACAGATCAGTCAAGAATAGTTCTCTTCCTTGCCTTATCTATGTCGTTCAAGAAAAAACTATGCGCTGCAGTTTTTTGGCCTCCAGTTAATTGGCAATGGTCAATTTATATAAAACGTTCTTATTATACTTTTTGTATAGGCATTCTTTACTTTACTTTTTATATTGGGAGTATTTCTTACTTTACTTTTTGTACTTTACGACAGTTTAAACATCTGGAAGCCCGCCTGACATGGACGAAAGCCCATGCAGGCAATATGGGAAATGAGGCAGCAGACCTCCTTGCGAAAGACGCTGCCCTAAATAAGGAAGCCGAGGAGCTAGCATTACCGTGGCCACACTCTACCTTAAAAAGAATGCTCCATCTGCAAGCACTCTCAAAGTGGCAGGCTGAGTGGGACATTGCTGAGACCGGCAGACGTACTCATTATCATCTTTTGTATGTTAATCCAGCCAGGCTCTACTCTAACCCGCACCTGGTCCGTTATGTTACAGGCCATGGACCTTTCCCGGAGTACTTTGCCACGCACGGCACGACTGACACAGACCAGTGCAGCTGCGGGCACCTGGGTACTCCGGAGCATTACGTCACTACCTGCTCTCTGACCAGCGGGATGTACATACGTATTCCCACTACAAACACACAGGCATTCTGTAAGCTCATGGTCAAACAGAAGCACCTCTGCCGGCAGCTCATCAAAATTATGGAGAAGCTAGCCAGTCTCTGCACGGACCTCTGCGCAGCAGAATAAATGACCCTGGAGTGACCATTACAGCAGGAAGTATCCTCTTTTAATGGCAACAACTGGAATACTAATCGTTAGCACTTTACAGACTATCACTACATCTTTGTCTTTATCGTAACTTGTTATTTACACAAATGCAACAATTTTACTGCCAAGGTATACCACAATTGTTTGTAATCAATCATTCATTTTCAATAATGTACTCACGTATTTGAATTAGTGTTGTCTTAAGGGTTCTCTAGATCATGGTGAACGTGGTGCTATACTAATTAACCGTATGGTAGAGGCATAGTGCCTACGTCCCCCGTTCCTTATCCTTATCCTTTACTTTTTGTATAGTTTCCAGACAATGCGCTTTGACCTTTCGAAACTGAATAGAGAAATTGTTTCACATGTTAGTAGAAAATTAAGCTTCAAATAACTTATTAAAATGTAATCTTCATAGCTGATCATCAAAGCGGTGGAATTTCACAAGTGCATCGTCATTTTTTTCGCCGATGGAGAGGGCCAATTTGCAACCACAGCTATGTTTTCCTAGTTGAAAACACATCTTGGCTGTATGATTGACATATATTTTGTGTAGCTTTACTCGAGTTATGACATAAGGACAAGCAGCAAATGCCAGTGCTACTTGGATTTTAACTTCCGAATTTACCATTTTATAATAATTCCTTTCCCAAGACTTTATAACTATGTCGTATTTTCAGGAATATAAATCGACCCTAGATTTCATCTAAATAATCACTGATTTTAGATGTAACTAAGGTTATATGTCGATTCTGTACTGATTACTAATCTATGTTGGAGGTTTTTTTTTTCTTTGAAAGCAGAAAGCCAAAACTATTTCAAAACACAAATCATTTAAGCAATGAAGTATTTCATTTCTTTGGATAGAGAACATAATGATAATTTACGGAAAGCTGGTAGGAAATCTGAAACTTCCAATAATTCAAGCTTGGAATGAGATCCATATAATGGTACTATATCAGCGGCAGAAGCTTAAGAGAATCTTAATGAACGTTCAATTCCAGATGATAAATCAATAAAAAAGGCATCCGCTATTTTTAACGAGCACCAATAGATTATACGGTCAGTATTATTTTCTCCATTACTTAAAACTTGTTTCGAATATTACAGTAGGCTCTCGATTAACTCGGATAATGCCAGCAACGACGCTCACGATTTCTACTTTAGAAAATATGATATGGACACCAAATGACTTCCTTATACAGAATATTAAATTATTCGCCGTTTTTGCTGCATTTCACTTAAACTGATTTCCTCGGATTTCATTTGATATATTTCTCATTCAATTAATTCAGTTCTCACATCGCGGCAAGGCAGAAATACATAAAATCTCAAAATATCTTTATTAAAAATTACAAACTATAGAAAAATACAAAATATAGTTAAAACAGTTTTTTAAAAGAATTATACGATCAAAATTGGAGTTTCTTCCCAAAAACTTGCAATTCGACCAGCGGGCAAGACGGCAGTTTTTTTGATACACAATACTGCCGAGTGGGATCAACAGAAACTGACTTAATTCACTAGTCTGCTAAGTTTCAAATGTAAACAAATATGGTTTTTACGGTAACAAAATTAGGCTTAGCCGCACTTAAATAACTTTTTGATTGTTTATAATTCTACAACTATTGTACGCAGATTAACTAAAGGCATAAAAACCATAACCAGAAGATAAGAACAGCATAGTTCAATCATTTTTAAAGCAAAAAATACATAATTTACTAACATGAGAACAAAAGAAAAAAAATTCAGCTCGCGGAGCTAAGTAACAGAGTGGGTATATATATATATATATATATATATATAAGGCGCGACCGATTGCAACCAAAACAGGAGGTGCACAACTGCATGTTATGGCAGTCCAATATGCAAAATTTCCACTTTGTGAAGCTACTCGTTTTTGAGTTATGCGAGATAATACATACATTCGTAAGTACGTATCACGAAAAAAACCTCTTCTGAATCCGATTTAAATCCTTTATGCAACTCGTTTTGGGGAAAATAGTTCTCTATTCTGTCCGTACGTACAGATGTCACGCAAAAGCATCGTTAAATTGCATTCTATAGGGGTGAAAATGAATATTTTCATTGAAATATGACACCCGAAAATTTTCGCGATTAAAATGCTTCCTTTACTTCGTACAAAGAAGTAAAAAGGATTACAACTTTAAAAATCTGTTACATTTGACTTTGTTGGTCAAGATTTTAGAAGCAAAAATACTAGCTCTATAACAGTAAAATTATTAGCGACACTATGGCAAAACTATAGTAAAATTCCCTGAGTTGTCCTAACTTCTCCTGTTCAGATCAGGCGTGGCGGTATATTGTAAATGAAGAACATTAGTCTGTTTTTTATAAGCTCTATGAATCATCTTCTGTGACATTATTTGTGTAGCGCTATTTGCCATAAATTAATGAATAAATAAAATGAATGTGTATTGTTACGTGTGTATGGGTTTTCAATGTGTTGAATGCATACAGAGCCGATGATAGCTTGATAAAATTTATCCTCTCCCCCCAAAAAAACATTTTAAAGTTTTGGAACTTTTCACAAAAGTACTCGCACATCTCTTCTCAATATAGCAGAGCACAATCACTAGTTAGCACTTCAAGGCCTGAAAATTATTATGCTCAGTCGGGAAAAATAGGATTACAGAAGCAGAGGTCCATTTACCTTAATGTGAAAAGGACCTGCTCTTGCAATCTTATTCCTCCGGCGGAGTATAACACTCTTGTGGCCTTTCATGTTACATTATACAAAAGATACTACAATTTACATATAATTTCACTAAAATTATTTACATATGTACAAAATTGGTAGCAGTATGTTGCCGTAAAGTTAACATTCGATAAGTTTTCAATAACAGAAATACTAGAAACTTATACTTGAAAACATAGCAAGGTACCAAAATAATTAATGAATGTTATTATTTCTTAAAATGTGTCCATGGCTGGTTCATCTTTCATCGAGAAAAGCAAATCTTATGTCATGGTAAACTCGGTTTCTAACGGCTTTTATTTCTTCAGGTGGTGAAGGAGCTCTAATTACAGCAGCAGGAGCAGCTATGGGCATTGGAAATGACATCGCTGGAAGTATTCGTATACCATCCTCATTCTGTGGCATTTATGGGCACAAGCCTTCAAGAGGTATATTCAAGAGATATTAGAAACAAATATTAAAATTATGAACCTTTTACATTCAAATGAGTATGAATTAGTGGCGTAGCGAGGGGGGACAAGGGGCACCGTTCACAGAGGCCCCGGGCGTCACTCGCAGAGGGGCGCCAAATGGTCTCCAAACAAGATTTTTCGGAAAATTTCAGTTTTTATTTTGATCGATTTCTAGAAAATATATTTAAAATTAATAATTATTGTAATATAATTAATTATTTTCTTGATTTGTCTGATAAAATATATAATAAAATGTTGGCAGTACATCAACCAAATATCTCCTCATACAAAACATTTTTCCGACCCCTTTATTTCTCTAAAATAGAGATATATTTTTATTTTTTCTTAAACAAAATACACGTATAGCTCCCGCTTTTTATTTTAAAACGATAACACGACTTTGTTCCGAATTTCTCAAACATTTCCATTTTCTAAAAACCGATTTCATAGTCTAGAAATGACGTTTTGACTAACGCTTCCCCTACAATGAATTGCGTTTGACTCTCCTGTAAACGACTGATGGCCTTCCTGGTTACCAATTCAACTGAGTCATCTTGCTGAGACATCGTAGTATATTCACTGCTACAAAGCAGTAAACGCGTGTCAGCTGTTTTTAATCTCCTACTACAAAAGTAATGCTGCAGATTCCTCCTTACTCCTTATCTAAAATGCATAGTTTTCGATGTCACAGACTAAATTTGCGTATTCCCAACTTTGTAAACGTTATAATTTTCCTTTATAATCGCTTTTAATTCCTTTTGTTAAAAAAGGTACTGGATTGATTGTATGGTTATTTCATACCGAACTCACAATATCCCTTAATTGGTTTGATCAGGGACTGCAGGATGTTACTCCGCAGTAGAAAAGAAACTGAACTTAAAACTCCATTGCAGATCTATAGAGAAAATCTTTTTCCAAACCTAAGAGTCGCACTTCAAATGCTCCTTACTATTTCTTTATCAACTACTAGCTATGAATGTTTGTTCATCAAATTAAAATAAATTTTCACATATTTACAATCAACGGTGGGAAAAGATCACCTAAGTCATTTTTAAATTCGGAAAGAGAAAAATTTGAAAGGATCGACTTTGATGAAGTAATTGATAAATTTGCTTCATCCAAGGCAAGAAAAATGTATACATAGTAATTAATTGTATTAATATATTGTAATATTATATTATTATTAATAAATATGTCTACTTATCTATAAGACATATTAAACTTTTAATTGTTTAAAAACTGTAATTTTTTAAAAACAATTATATAAATATGTAAAATAAATAATACCTTTTTAACTAATTCTAGATCATCGTATGTATGATTATTCCGCCGGCACAGATACATTTCCGAATTCAATGCTAGTGTAGTTAGGTAGTGACTATTCTGAATATGTTCTAGAGTATTTTATGGCAGATTCAGCATTTTATTATTATTTTCATTATTTTCTTATTATTAATATATTCTATACATCATATTACTGTAAACTTTTTTTTGGGGGGGGCGCCAAAAAGGTATTTTGCCCCGGACGCCAGTCATGCTCGCTACTCCACTGGTATGAATAGCATCTGATAGCGTGTTTATTTAAAGAATTCGAATAATTGCTATTATATAAGTTTAAAATTAACAGAACGTGTGTATTGAACTGATCATTACGAATATTTGTAAATATTTGTGCTTATTTATTTTAAATTTGTTTTTCGTATACTTTTATGTATGTGATCATTGCATTATAGTATAACAATTTTATTTGTTTATAGTGCATTTTTTGTAATAATTTTATCGTATAGTTTTGTTAAATCGAATTGGTGGCCACTTGTTCTGTACCTGAATGTTCTTATTTTGTGCACTCTGTTACAGTTCTGCATTTTCAGTTTGTAAATGTATATATAATGGTTTCGTACTATGTACAAACAATATTTCGTATGCAACAAATATTGCTGAATACAACAAAATATCTACATGCTTATGTACAATCTTTGGATTACTTTTAATTTACCAGGTTTAACCGCAGCATTTTGCCGTAGATACTAATTTAGTTTAAAAAAAACATTACCTTTAGTTTTCATCATTCGTTTTTCCTAACTTTATCTATATGACAATGATTTAAAAGTTTAACATTAATAATTGTAATAATAGCAGAAATTTAATAAACTTTAAGTTTTGCAGATGCATATTATTTACATTATCGGATTAAAATAAAAGCAAAAACTTTAAGTGTAATCTTTAAGTTATTTTGAAGTTTATTTTATGCAAAATGTGTTTTAAAATGTAGCAGATTTGTCGGAAAAGATACGTATAAAAACCAGACCTCTCCATTTTTTACTAAAACCTTGCATTACTTCACCCCTTCCCAAAAAGGAGGAAGAAGATTATTTACTAGACATCTAATATATGGAACTAAACGTCTTTTGATTTATGTCGGTACAGCAGTCAGAGTCGCTAACCACTTTCTAGGCAGCACAGTTCAAATGTAAAAAGTGTTAAACAATGAAAAAATCTTTTTATTATTCCTGATTCGCTTAGTTAAAGGGTTCTGAAATTTTATATTTTTTTGCAAGAAACTGTATTTCTATCATAAAAGTATTTTCCGTTTAAAATTCCCGCTATTTTGCATTCTTTTAAAAGCTTTTGCGTAAGAATTGTACCCTATCTCGAAACACTCTGGCTTAGTTGTCAAACAATCAAGCATTTATTAAATAGACAAAATGTCAGAATGGCAACACTCCGAGAATTAGTTATTTGTGAAGTGCATGGAAGATAAATTAAACATCTCAGATTTTTGTGCTATGATCAACACTTGCCAAGACGAGTGGACGATGCCTTCCTACGTAATGCTTCAATAATTGTGAAAAAACGCCACTACAGATATTTCTAACATCGACGGAAAAATTGCATTCCAAAACTGTTTTAACCCACTAAGTTCGAATAAATGATGCTGTGCTCTGTATGACTATTTTGTGATTTGTTTACCCATTTATCTTCTTTTTTAGATATCATTTCTAACAAAGGAACATGGCCCGAATCTGATGATGAATACGATGTATTCGTCAGCACAGGTCCAATGTGCCGATATGTGCAAGATCTTTTGCTTCTTGTTAGGGTACTTTCTGATAATGATCAAAGATTGAAATTGGATGAAAAGGTAACTTTTAACTATTAAGATGATTCAAATCTAAGTTCATAAATTAAGAAAAGTGCTAGAGAATATATCGAACTTGATTATCGGCTTGCGGGTTATTCCTGCAAAAAATATTTAGAGTAAATAACCTGAGACTAGAAGACTAGAAGAACATTTGAAGAAGAAGGAAATAAAAATGTTACTCTTTTGTAATCGAGTGCATTCTATATGGCGTTAGGAAAAATATGGGGTTTTATTAGTTATATTAATTATATATGTTTTACTTAAATTAAATTAAATTAAAATTTTTTAAGAAACGGATGTATTGCTTTTAAATTTCTCAATCTGCCACACTTCACGCAATGAACACTGCGCGGAAAAAAAAAATGGAGCAATTCTATTTCTTCAATTCTTACTGGGCCGATTGACTAAATTCAACTTGCGTTTGTCATGTCTCAAAAGCGCGACTTAGGATATGTATTAGATTTATATATAGCATAGTTCTAATACAGGTATTTTGGAACAAAATCGGACTTTTTCTGAATTGACATGCCAAACTTTTTCTAACTTTCGATTCTACGACTCAAATTATGCCAAACTGCCAAGTTTTGTAAAAATCGCACGAGTAGTTTTTAAGAAATTAGCTCTCAAAATTTTAGCTCTTTAAAGCTAATTCAGTTTGGTATATATTTATAAATCTCTCTTTTTTTTATTAAACTTACTTGATTCCTTCTTCAGGAATTCGAAATTTACGCATGATCCAAATATAATTCGCACATTTTGTAAGATTTATTTTTAAATTTCTGTTTTTAAATATTTTTTGTAAACTTTTCAAAAAACAATTTGGATTATAACCTATAAAAGTTTTATCATTGTCTTAGAGTTGATGTATTTTTAAGCATACCCACAAAATATTAGAGCTTTTTATTCAAAATTTCCTAAGATATACGTCAATTTACATATTGGCTCGTTTTAAAATTTGGCATATTTGTTATAAGCGATAATAACGCCAAATGTGATTTACGTCAAAATTATTTGAAAGAATGAACGATGACCATTTTTCCGCTCGTGTACGAAGAAAAAAGGGAAAGGAAAATAGTTTGCTATAAATTAGGAAGTTCGCCAAGTAAATTATTCTTGGCGCAAACTGAAAAAAATGCGTCAAGATAAATTTTTAAATTTCTTCATAAATTTCTCACCAAAAATTACAAATTTAATATCTACGCATAATTTGAATCGTAGAATCGAAATATAGAAAAAAATTGGTTTGTTATTTCAGAAAAAGTCCGATTTTGTGTGAAAATACTTATGTTAAAACAATGCTATATATAAATCTAATACATATCCTAAGTCACACTTTCGAGACATGAAAAACGGAATTTGAATTTCGTCAATCGTCCCAGTAGAACGAGACATATAGAACTGTCCCTTTTTTACCCAGCAGTGTACATTAACAATTTAAAAGGTCGTCTGTACTGAGATTAGCAATCATCTTACAACTCTTAATTAAGCAGAAGAAGTATTAATTTCTTTTTTTTTCGCAAGACTGGCAATAGTAAGGAAAAGAAACATGGCAATTTTTCAAGCCGCTTGGGTGCTTGGGATTATGATATCGTAATGCAACATAATGAAATTTGACGCGTAATACTTACTGATTCTTTAACATTTGTAATGTCAAAACGTAAGACCTTTCTGAAAAAATGTGAAAAATCATACTGATGCTGAGTATTTTAAAGGAGGAAAATTTTGTCTATGAACAGCGGAAACAAATCCCTACTTGGCGAAATCAATTCGGGTTGCAAGATGTTCAAAATATGTCTAGGAAAAACAAGAAAGAATGGTTAAGGATAGATAAAAACAAAAACGGTTATAGGATTGTATCAAGCCAGAGCATACTAAATCCAGTTACTTAAGAGTAGCATTATTTGAGAAACGTGAATGAAAAAATAAAAGACCAAAGATGAATTACTGTAGGGCATTGGGTTTTGTACAAAAGCTGATAGATTATTTGGGTCAACAAATTCAGTTCAAGTTTAAGAAAATTTTTATTTTCACTTTTACTTGCCGTGTTGTCAAAAAGAATGAAAAAATAAAAAACAAAAGGGCGTTTTGTTAACATTTTGTGTGTTACCTCTATTTATTAAGTATCATGTTCTTCGCACTTAAACCATAAAATTCAATTCAACAGCAATATCACAAAACATTTGAAAGAGCATATCTTTAGAATTTCCAATGCACAGTCTCGCGCGCTGGAGAAATTTTTTTGGCGGGGGGAGGAGTATAGTAGTGACATTGCTGACTCATAAATGCTTTACAAAATATAAAACAGATAATAAAATAAATTCCAAATTCCAAATTTGGTCTTTCCGTTGTCTTATCACAGTGCGAGAAACATATATACATTTATGAAGATTTTTCATTATTTAATTTCTTTAAGTATAATACATGGCTCTAATATTTGGTAGCAACAATTTAAAAGTGATTCGCCGTTTATAGTGAATCAAGGCAAAATTCGAAACGAAATTACACTCTTATAACAAAGAAAATCGATGCACCAAGAAGAAATCATCTGATTGCTTTGAAATTTCGTGTGCATAAATATTTTTCACCAAATATGCAAATGATTAAAATTTGGTGCCCAATGAATAAATAGTGCGATCTCCAGCGCATCAGAACTGCGCATCCACAGATGTATATAAGCAGCTGTTTTTGAACTGTTGTTAAAAATTTCTGTGCATCGCGATTTAGGATACCTTTCAACGACTGAAAAAAATTCCTCGCCGCAGGATTCGATGTCATTACGAGCAACTGTTAGAGTTTGAAAGAGGTCTTATCATTGTATTGAAAGAGGCGGGTTGAGAAAATCGGAGAAACGCTCGTCATTAATGAGGTGAAGCGATGCGACGATTAGAAGATGCTGGCAAGAAAGGGTGGACAATGGCAAATTTCAGCGTTATGAGGGTAGCGGTCGACCTAGGGCCACAACAGGTCGGGAGAGACAAGCTAAGAGTGATTGTCACAACAGACAAGCTAAGAGTGATTGTCAAATCAGCTGTCACATCATCGCTATCAACCATCAGATGTGCGACCCGCACACGAGTATCCACCATGACCATTCGCAGACGGCTGATAGAATGAAATCTACGCTCGTACCGACCGTTAATCCACTTGCCACTCACGCCTGCACACTGTCGAGCCATATTACAGTGGTGCTTGGCTCGATCAGGTTGGAATGATACTGACTGGAAACGTATAGTCTTTGGGGACGATTCCCGCTTCCAACTGTGTCGTGACGATCATCGAAGACGTGTCTGGAGACGCCCAGAGCAGCGTGCCGATCCTGCTTTCACTATCTCACGCCACACAGGCCCTCATCCAGGAGTTATGGCCTAGGGTGCCATTTCCCTTGATAGCCGGACACCTTTGGTCGTCATCAGAGGCACACTAACAGCACAGCGGAACGTCGACGACATTCTGAGTTTTGTTTTGCTACCGTTCCTTTTGCAGTACCCTGGCCTTATTTTTCAGCAAAGTAATGCCAGACCATATACGGCACGTTTCGCTATGAACTGTCTTACAGCTTGTCAAACACTTCCCTGACAGCCAGATCGCCAGATCTCTTTCCCATCGAGCATGTCTGGGATATGATGGAAGGCAACTGCATCTATCAGGGAATTTTAATGACCTAGCCCGACAATTGGAGCAAATTTGGCAAGAAATATCGCAGGCGACCATCCGAGAGCTTTATCAGTCTATGCCACGCCGTGGCAGCCTGCATCCAAACTGGAGGTAGGAAGCTTATTGAGCTTGTTACTTTGTAACTCTGAAATAAATTACTCAATTGTTCTGAAATTTTAATTATTTTTTATTCTGTATATAGTCTTGCTATCCACCAATTTTTGTCTCCATCGGACAACTCCTTCTTGGTGCTTCGAGTTTTTTGTTATGGAGTGCAACAGCCCTTCTGGGCAAATTGCCACTCTGTACTAATAAAAGGAAGAGGAAATAAAATATTTTAAATGTTGTTTATAGAAATATTTATAAGTCGGGAGATGAGCTAGCCGCAAATGTTTTACACTTCCAAATTACATGCAAAATTAGAACAAAACTTGAAGAAATTAAATAAATAGAATGAATAGGTGTTCTAGTAAGAATGCCAGCTATACAATGCCCAAAAGAGGCATTGAGATGCTTCGCCAATAATAAAAGGGAAAGAAAATGAATCAAAAAGGGGTATAAGCTATTGTGTCGGAAAGAACTCGGAAGAAACCTGGATGTCGCGGCTGGAGACAAGCTAAAGAAAGAGCTGTAATTAGAGAGGAAGCATAAGAGCTCAAGAGCATAAGAGCTTGCGCATCTGGTTAGTGTTAAAATTAATCTGTACGTCATAAATTATTATAGACCATCAACAGTCCAGTATCAAATGCTAAAATACGTTGTTATAGTTTCACAAGTTTTATTTGTTAGCGCTTGTTTTAGCCCAAAGGATCGGCAGACCAGAAGAGCTATTAGTTTCGAAACGGAATTTTATGGCGTTTCACTATAAACGTCGAATCGATTTTTAAACTGTTGCTACCAAATATTATGGTCCTATATTATGTTGAAAGAAATTAAATTTTGAAGAATTTGCATGAATGTATGTATGTTTCTGGCATTGTTGAAAAACGGCGGGACAGCCATCAAATTTTGAATAACGTAATCCTCCACCCATGGGCACCTGGAAGCCCGAATTTTAATTTTCGAATTTGTTTTATTATCTATTTCATATTTTGTAAAACTTTAACGAATTTTTGATTAACAAATTCAATGATTTCAAAGCGAGCAATGGCAACACTGTACGAAAAAAAAAGAAAACTTTTTTATCTCCAGTGCGCTAAACTATCTATCGGAAGTTCTAAAGATATGCTGTTTTTAAATATTTTGTGATACTGCTGTTGAATTGAATTTTATGTGGTTTAAGTGCGAAGAACATAATATTTAATAAATAAAGGTAGCAAGCAAAACGTTAAAAAAAATCTGTTTGGGCGTAATATAAAATCTGAATTTAAAGTTACATAATTTTTTGAAGGATAACTGATAAGCAACATTTCAGTAAACACACGAGTTTGTAAATGGAAGCAAGTTAATTTAATCCTCGTTTACAGTGTTACGTCTTACATGCATTTAACTTGAAAGAAACATTTGCAAACATTAAAAGTAAGCATAAAATTGCTCTACCTCAAGTCCAAGAAACAGAGCTCAATATATAATACACTTAAATTGATTGTTTAACGTTGAGGCCATAATCAAGAGGAGAGAAAGGATTAGGAAGTTTTTCTGCAGAAGCCCATTAATGGACAGACTATTCTAAATATGTGGTCAAAGTAATGAAGAAAGTAAGGTTCGTCCACCAGTAACTTTAATTTGAACACTTTAGATGTTCAAAACAGCAATTTTAATGTTACAAACTTGAACCTGTTTTGCCCCATGCAATTTTTACCATTCCTGGCAGAACATTTCGCCTTCCCCCTTGCCCAAATTCGAAAATACATATGCATTTATTTAGATTATTTTTAAAGTGTTTTATAAATTAAACAATAAAAATACAGATAATGTTGATACAGATACAGATAATGTGGGAAAAAAACAGATAATGTTGATCAATGCCCTAGTTCGAATAAAAGCAACTTTTTTTTATATTTATAAACTAAAACTATTTTTTCTGCAGCTAAATAAAAGGCTGAGAACATTCCCTCTGAGACTTTGAAATTTTGATGGGGGGCGGGGATAATTTCCCTTGGTTGAGAACTCTTGTACTAAGTAGTACTGCTAATTGTCTCTGTGTAGAGAATTTTTCTGCAACTTGAAATGCAGTTTTGAGTAAAACACATTTGGTAAAAGTTTTTCGTACTTATAGTAAGATTCATTGAAGTAGGAATAATATCAGAGGTCTCTGCTTGTTTCCATTATCCTTTCCTTCCACCATTATTAGATCTTTTATCTATGAAATTGATATAAATAACCCTATCATTTATGCAGTGCAAATCTTAAGCTTAAGCTTATGATACACCTTTCAACACAGGATTCCAATCTATTTCCTTCAAGATCCTTATTTGCGCATATAGATCAACAGCATGTGTTTAAACTATTCCGCCAACATTTGTCGATAGAACTGTCGTTGTTGGTGTTGTTGTTTATGCTAACTTATCTGACGTAGTCAGACCAAGCCCACGAAATTTCTCGTGGCAAGAAGAGCTAGAATACGCCTGCCATTGCCAACAGCCTTGAACACCATTCACGTGACAGTGCGATTTAGCTCAGTTCCGCCCCCCCCCCAATTTTGATAGAGAGCATCTCCGGAGGGGAGACGGGACCCACCCCTCTCTCCTTCCACCAAACCAGTGGGCCGCCAGGCCGCACCGACACTATACATTTACAAGCATCCGTGCCTTCTCCGGGATTCGAACCCGGGCCCTTCGGCACGGCAGTCAGCGACGCTAACCACTTTACCAGTTGGACGACGTCGATAGAACTAAGTTAACTAATCAGTTGTAGTTACTGTAACCAGGACATATTAACAGATTAACGTGTACGTCTTTCATTTTATACCGTATTCGCTCTCGTATTGTGCGCAATTTTTATCAGATAAATGTCGGCGCAAATTTCTATTTTCTATGTGCAGACTTTAAAACTTCACGGGAAGCTCATAACAATTCACATGCAAGAAAAATAACTGAAAGAAAATAACGTAATTAAATAGCTTTCATTACTAAAATGTACAAAATTCTTATATATCTACCGCTGCTTTGACTATCTAAAACAGATTTTATGTTTTATGTCACCACAAAAAGAGTACAAATATTTTGGATAGCTCATATTTTGACACACTCTCCTTCCCCGGTATCGCAATCAAAAATCACTCCTATAGACACGTTAATTATCATAAGTGCAAAATGAAACTGCAGTCCATCCGTCATGTACTTTCACAATAATTTTATACAGCAATTTTAATGTTACAAAAGTGTTAGTATCGACCATTATGGCCAATATCTCCCTCTATATTCATTGCTGAAAATCAAGATGACTACAGTACGTGAGTGCCGATATATGGATGTATATGGTGTATCATAAGCTATTTAGTTGTTTCTAATTCTCTTTGATGCAAATCATTGTAATAAAAGTTGAAAATATTTTTCAAAGAGAAGTACAGTCTAATTATTCTGCTTTAAGTCTATTTACTTCTATTTCAGGTGAATTTTCGCAATGTCAAAGTATACTACATGGAAGAAGTTCCCGGATTTCTTCACTCTGCCATTCCGCCAGTTAAAGCAGCCATCAGAAAGGTTAGTGTACACTGTATTCTTGCATCATCTCCGTTTTTCTTCTTTACACTAATACAAAATTCATGTACGCAGCAGATAACAAATGTCAAAATACATTCCATAATTAAAGCATAAGTGAATACATTGTTGTTCTTAAAATTATCCAAACCGTGCGTTTCATCAGATAACCTGGTTTTCCAAAGTGAATTTCGAAATATATACAATTGTTGTGTCGATGTATAAAAAAGTATTGTTGCGTTCTACGGGTTCGTGGATTTGGAGTGATTGACGATGACCCTTCACGAAGAATATAAACACAATTTGTTCACAAATATTTTACAGGAGAGTTCCAAAGACACGTTAACAATCGTCGAAAAACTATAATAAACACGCTGAAACAATCAGCAACACAATTTTCCGGCTATCAGTCTATAACGGTGAAGACAGCCTTCATGGCAAAACACTAAATACAGCTCTCGACTCGGTGGATCGCTCTCGGAGCTCAACACGCTCAAGATACTCTTCACGATAAAATTCACGATACACTGCTGGTTTCTATAACTTTTGACCTGCCTTCGAGAACATTCTGGGGTATACCGGTGAGAATGCGTTCTAGAATGTTCTCGCTCCGTCTTTGGCATATCGCCAATTTTATCACCAAATGGGCGATTTTGTGCCAAATCTGAAAATCCTGCCTTTCCTTGGAATTTTCTGGCAACCCTAAACCCGCTTAACTGGGAAGTTATTTAACCGCGCCTGGGCATGTCGTAACAGTATATTATTGCAGCTACAAGAAAGGTGACGCAGCGCAGTTGCTCTTCATATGACTTAAATACAATAATGGCAGCAGACGCTTAATGTAACTGTCATTGCATTAGTTGCTTCTATGGAGCATAGTGCTTTATATTAGTATGTGAAAAGGTTTAATAGTGTCATCTGTTCTATGTCACTTTTGCTCCTAGAAATCATTGATGGCATAGGGAAAAGCAGAAAATTTTCGCGAAGCAAGATTTTGAATCGGAAAAAGGAAAGCTCAAAAATTCAATCAATAGAAAAGACAAAAACCTCTTATTATTAACCAAGAATGCGCATTGTCTTCTGTGGTTCGTTGAATTTATTTCAATATACTCAAATCAAACGTTCTGCGTGAGGATGAATTTGCCAAAGGATATTAGAAATTTCATTTAGCATCTACGGTTTTCAAACATGAGCTGTTGAAGGTCTTTGTTTTGTTTATCTCTACTTTCGTATCCTTGTAGGTGTCACTCGAAAGTCGGATGATTTGTATTTTCATGACATCTAAGTTTCCATGAATTGTCCGAAGAACAGGTGCTGAGATAAATACATTAGCTGTGCTCTTTTTGTTCCCTTGCACCAGCATAAGCATCGAGTTATCTGTCGACGGTCAAAAACTTACAACCAAAGAATTTTCTATGAGAGAGAAAGTTTGCTTCGTGAAACTATTTTTTCTGATTTACTTGCGCAATTTGGAGCTGCTTTTGTGACAGGTTATAGTTTTAAACAAAACAAATACTTCTTTAAAATATACGTTCTTTGTTTGGAATCTTAGACTTCAACAGTCTAGTAGATTATTGGTAGACTAAATAGATAAAAATTTTATTTCTACCTTCTTCAAGCTGCAGAAAGGGTTAAAATGAAACAAATATAATACGTGAACTTCCCGGATTCTAACGACATAGTCCGTTGAAAAACTTTTCGGGCGCCAAATGTAAGATTCTCACTAGTGTAATTCTCAGTTACTGTAGAAAGTGACTAATTTTAAGAACTAGTTAGCGAATAATCGCTTAAGTTCGTGTGGCAAGAAACAACAAGATGGAAGGGTAACTAACCGTTTATTATTCCAATAAGATTTAACAAGACTCCGTCTTGGAGTGTACAATCAAAGCCGACACTTGGGCTTGAACTTAAGAGACTAAGAATTAAACTAAAACTAAGATTAACTAAAGAAATATAGCCGGAGCTACGAAGTTTCTAATGCAGTTGGCCCCTTAAACTCCAGATGACTGCGAAGCTTATCAAGATGCCCGAGTACAGCTTTGAGAGGGAGTGTGGCCAAAAGGCGTAAATCAGAAACTCTGATTCCCTCTCAAAGACCAAAGAACTTCGCGGTTAAATACCGCTCTTCCTCATATGTATTCAGACGTAATTCTAAAACTACGTTCTGGCCGAAAGTAGTAAGTTAAAGTTAAGAATTGGACAGGAAAGGAACTTAAAATTTAACTGTTAATAAAATTAACGTAATTCTTACAGGGTAACCGAGGGGTTCCGCCAGTCAAATCCCAGGGTTTCGCGGGTCAAAATAAAAATCGGCATATGGCACATGTCAAAGAGAATGACGTGCACTTAGTTGAAAACAGTTTTCTATTGGAAAATGAATTGCATTTAGACCACAGTTTTAAAACTCACATAATGAAGCACCTTTTCCAATTGAAGAAAACCGTAAGAGAATATTTCCCAGAAGAAAAAACTAAGTATGACTGGATAAAAGAATCTGTTCGAGTACTTCGATAAATCAGAAGGCTTGCCAGTGAAGGATAGGGAACAACTCATAGACATAGCGACAGATTCAACGTTGAAATCTAAATTAAAGGGAGAATATTTCATTTTTTGTTATAGATTCATACAGAATCCCTAGAAGTTTCTTAGACAGCTATGGATATTTCAATGCTATTAGGAACAGCGTATTTAAGTAAAACATTTTTGTAAATGTATGTGACAACAAAAACAAAATATAGAAACAAATAAAAAGAATATGAAATTGGACTGCAGCTAACATTAACTGAAAACGACTTCGACAGTTTATGTAAAAAATGTACAAGAACACCCTAGTCAATAAATATAATGCAAGGATAGGTGATACCCGGATCTTGAATTAGTGCTATGAATATGTAATTGCATTATATTAAAATTTATGTAAGAGTTTTTAAAAATGCATTACTTTTCTATAATTCTATTCACTTAAAGTACCGATAACATATTGATCTACATTAAATATTATTTTAAGATAAATTTTTCTAAGAGTAGGATGCGGCTCTCCGTAGAAATCTTGAAGTCTAAGAGTTCAGCAAGTTGACAAAGTTTTAAAGACCACTGATATATACAAACAAACCTTAAAAGATCCACTTGTTCTCTGCATGTAAGATATTTTTTGTAAGGGTAGGATAAGGCTCTCCGAAGAAATCTTGTATACTAAGAGTTCCGCGAGTTGACAAAGTTTGAAGACCACTGGTTTAAGAAAAAAACGTTTTATTTTAACTTTAACTTAACAATGCATGCACGGCTGATGCTTTCAAGTAATCTTCACTGCTTGCGGGATTCGAAGTAACATAAGATGTGAATTAAAAATTTCAAGTAATAAATGCTGCAGATTTAAAAAAGGCACAACTTGATAAACATTGGTTGAACTCTAATTAATTGTGCGAGTGATTCCGCTGGCGAAAGGCTAGAGCCAAAACTAGGGCTAGGGCTACAGGATTTAGCGTCGCTGCCATCAATAACTCTCTAACTTCAAGAACTCTAGTATTACATCCTAAAAAGAGTTAACGGAAACTAATAGTAATGTTCAAATGATAATATATTGGGTTAGTTAAATTAAATACGTACTTTAACAGTTTAGTCTACAGTATTTAACTAGTAACATATTAAACAATGACGAAAAACCAACTGCCTTTTATTTGGGGACCTATCATTCTGTGTTCGCTTCATAAGGCTTAGTTAATTAATTTTATTAAATGTATCAGTAAAATTTAATTTGTTGTTTTACGCGAGTTGAAATATAAAGTCTGTTTTTAGGTGTTAGTAAACGTATTATCTTGTAATTAGTTGTTAGATGTAAGATATTAACTAATGTTGCCAATATAATATCAATAAATGGTAAACTGCTATATGGAATGTTTGGGTACTGCATATAGCTAATACGCAAGAGTGTATAATTAAGATATAAAATAATTTATCGCCTTAATAGTTAGCACAGTACGTTGTGAATTAAAATAACTTTATAAAAGACAGATGCAATTCTGAAAATTCTAATATTACTCATCGCAGAATGTAACAGCTTTTGAGAAGGATACATTGATAACAAACATCGCTGCAATTTTATTGATCATATTGGTAGGATTACAAAAGCTTGATTAAAGAACAATAATTACTCATATAACACTCTGCTATGATATAAATAGTCATATTATACGTAACAGACACAAATCCTAGGTGAAATTAACATTCAGCTAGATTTTCAGCACGGTAACAATCTATAATCAGAGTTAAAATTACTATGTAAATAAGAAAATATAGCGTAGTGAAATTAATAATGAAGAATGGTAACGAGTCTCGAAAGACACATTTCTTCTAAAATCTCCAACACATTCTTTTGGTGACCAGACAAATGCCCACTGGACGAAAGCGCACGCGACAAAAGCACACAAAACACACCCCACTGGGATAATTGCCCACGCGACTAATACCCACACCGATGAAAGTACACATTGATAAAAGCCCACACAGATAAAAGCCCACATTGATAACAGCCCACATAGGTATAAGCCCACGTTGATAAAAGCCCACACTGACAAAAACCTACACCGATATATAAGCTACGTTAAAATGAATATTTTTTCACTTTTTTCTTCAGCTGCATAAAGTAGATTCATGAATAAAGGTAAAATAAAAACTAAATTAAATTAATAACAAATAATTGAACAATAAATTTAAGTAGAGGAATACATTTCATTTTGGGCTCCGGCTGAATTAAGAGAGTCAATCAAAATGATGAATTATAAACATATATATGTATGTGTAATTTTGTTATTATATTTACGCGACAAATGGAAGGGCCTTCGTATAAGTCTGACAAAGGGAGGTGAAAGGGAATACTCATGGAGGTAAGAAAGGAAGGAGTGGCCAAACCGGCATTAGAAGTGAAGCACCACTCTGAAGCTTCGGTCACCAGATGAGGTGTTTTTTTGTTTACATTCAGAAGCCCTCTTGACAGCGCTCTGATAGTATTTCGACACACGACAGTTCCATAAAAATCGAAAAACGAGACACTTCAGCATTAAAAGAAAAATTCCTAGTGTGATGAATAATAGCAATTTGTGTAGTTTAGTGACATTTACGCAAAAATCACTTCTTGGTTATTTTTCGTTAACTAACAACAGCGATTTTGATTATGAATTTGTTTCATAAAATTCTAAGATGTTGAACTACAAAAATATAGATTTTAGCAAAAATGTTATGCTTAAAAAATGAAAAATACCTCACCGTACCTTTAAAATTGTATACATCTTTCGATACCCTTGATACAGTATTCGCTACTTTTATTTTATGTTCCAAACGCCAAAATGTTTTTAAGTAAAATAATTTTTTTTTCACATCCACATATTATTGTAACATGTACTTTTTTTAAATTAGTGTAAATTACTTTACTCGAAAAATACAGTGAATGACAGAAATTAAAGATTTCCACACGCCGGAAATGAAAAATATTAAATATTTATGGCTATTTAAGCATGTGCTTCCAAAAAGCATGTATCTGTCTTTAACAAAATACGTAAATATTTATTATATTATTTATAAAAGTATTTGAAATGAAGGATTTATTCATTCATAAACAACTGTGAAAGTTGCTCTGAAGAAATCTAATTATTAAATGTATCTAAATTTATAATGATTATAAATATATCTAAATGTATAATAATCTTAACAATGAATTGTAAACATAAATTGACATCCTGTTGACAAATACGTTATAAAACTATTTAAGCAAGAATTGTTCGTACTGGAAAGCAATCTGTTAAAAGGTAAAGCAATTTCTATGAGATGCGTATTTAAGAAAGTAATAAAGAAGAGTTTTGTTTTGGAATATATATTGTTGAAATTAAGGGTAAAAAAAAATCTAATAAGTAAGAATTATTCCCCTTACATTTTATAATTAGTCAGTTACAAGTTTTAAATAATATTTAAAAAATAATCCTTACTTTATTCCCTTTCAGAAATGTTGAGAGAAAGTTAAGTACTATTTAATGTATTTCGCTATTAAATTAAAAGGTGCTCTAATTTGAAATGGACCAAACAGAGCATTAATTATAAACTGACTTATAGTTTTCTATTTAAAAGATGTCTTAGAAGCTAAAAAATCATGTCATATTTGAGAAAGTATTTTAGGAAGAAGCTCTATAAATAGAAAAGAAATAATGCATAATTTTCATAATATAATAAACTTTGATCTTAATTTTTGTAATCCTTAACCGAATCAAATCGAATTACCTTAATTTTTTTTAATGTAATTAAAGAAAACTTGTGAATCTATTTCAAATTAAACCATTCTGAGCAAACTGTTCTGTGAAAAGTATAGCATTTAATTCCGTTCAGAATGAAATGTTGCTTAAAAATGTGTTCTTTTCATATACTTAGGACTCTGAAGTACTGTAGAAAAAGAAAATATGTACATTTATATACATATTTACGACGTAATTACAAAATATTTACATCCGATCGTGTCAAAACCCATTGAACTCAATGGTAAATTACCCAATGTTTTGGTCACCAAAGAAGGGATCTCCAGTGCTTCAAAGCAGGGTATGGGTAAACCGGTTTAGGGCCACTCCATCTAACTTCCTACCTCCATGGGAATACTGGCCACACTGGCTTCTTTTAATTCTATAAAATGTATGTAAATTTTCCTCATATACAGAGAATAATTTAGGATTAATTTAACACTGCAGAAAATTTTGAACATAATGCATTTAATATGGAGAATTAAAGCCGAACTTTTATTTCAACGAGAAAGATAAAAGTACCGCATTCTATTATGATTAAAAAAACATTTGTGTGCGCTATCACAAATACTGTTTTCATAGTGAATTAAAAGCACAGTTTCAAATAATCTAGTTATATTTTGACAACTTGGATTTTACATAAATTAATTTCATTTTTAATCATAATAATTATTGTTCATAAAATTTTTCAGGTAAATCAGATTATTATTAAATTTTTCAGATTTAAAATTTTCAAACTCGAATGCTACATATTTGTTACTATAGATTGAGATGATTCTACTATTTAAATTTGTAGATATGTTGACTTCTAAGAGTTTTTCCTTCCCCCCCAAAGAAAAAAAATAAATAAAATGAAAATTAAAAACACTATTCAAAATTGCTGTAGTTGAAAGATTAAGAGGTTACATTTGGAATTTATTTTCTGACAGGGCGTCAGCTGACAGTTTTAATTTATTCAGAAATCTGAAAGAAAATCTCCAAATTATAATTGTTACAATCAAAAAAGCTTTCAATGAGAAATATGTTTAAACTTTGATAATAAGCTCAGTCTAAAGTAAAGAATAAAATATCTCTTAGCGAAGGTTTCATTCTATTTAACTGTTTTAATATTACTAAACTAAAAAGAAGCTAAAAGGAACTAAAGGAAAAACTAAAAAGGAACAAAATAAAATACAAGTATTTTTTAATTAAAAAGTTAATAGTTTTAATAATGAGACATAATTATATTTAATCTCAGGCATATTACCTTAAAAATAGCATGTGAGAAACTTCACAATGATATTTTTCATTTTCACATGCACATATCAAAGTTAAATAAGTAAATAAATAATAAAATGCAATTTCAGATTTGTCATCGAAATGTTACAGCTAGTCAATCAGATTCCATTCCATTTACCGCTGTTATACTGGGCCTAGCCTGCGTGAATTTGCAGGCTTTTTGCCAGTTGTCTTTAAATATGGCATCCTGGAGGTAAAAATATCAGTGAAGGTGTTACAGAGACAAGATGTGAAAACAGAAAGTTTGCTTTCAACCTAATAAATTAAACAAATAAAGTAGTGATAAAATATACAAACAGACATATTTGAGACATTAAAATTCAGATCTGTATACTCCATTTATTATAATTAAAATTATAAATACACGATTTACTAATAAAAAAGCATAAGTCCCTTTTGATTCTGTGCGCATTTATCAGTGTGCGCTTTTATCAGCGTGGGCTTACGAGCGTGGGCTCGTATATCTATGTGGGCTTTTATCAATGTGGGCTATTATCAATGTGCGCTTTCATCGCTGAGGGCATTTGTCGCGTGGCCAATTATCATAGTGGGGTTTCTTGTGGGCTTTTGTCGCGTGCGCTTTTGTCTGGGAACCCATTCTTTTAACATATGAATTTTTTTTTTTTTTTTTTCATGACGAAGCCATTCGCTTTGCATGTCTCCAACATTATTATCAGTCATTCGACATCTAGGTTAAAAGCAATTGCTACTTAAATTGTATCGTGAATAATTCTTCAGTTAATTCTCTTTTCCAATTAATCACGGTTTATCATTTACTGCAGTAGATTTTACTACATAACTGCTTAATATTAAGTTTTTGGAAAATATTTATGTATCATTATTATTCGAACATTTGTATTTTGAATTGGATTTGGAAGTATTTGTTTCTTTTGGTTAAATGTTCGATATTTCTATTTCAGGCTGCGAAACATTTTGAGGATGAATATGGAATCACCGCCACTAAAGTCAACATCGAAGAATTAGCATACGGCTTCAATATCTGGGAAAGCAAGTTACTGGAATGTGGTGGCCCTTCATTCGCCAGCATGCTCGCTAGCGAAGATAAAGGCGTCAATCTAACCGTGGAACTTATTAAAAGCCTCTTCTGCTGTTCAGACCACACCTGGCCTGCCATTTACTTCGGAATGGTCGACATGCGAGAAAAAAATAAGTACTACTACACGTGCCTGGAGAAATACAACACTCTCAAGACGAAATTTGAAGAACTTCTTCAGGGTGATGTCATCTTTTTGCTACCCACTCATCCAGAACCGCCACCTCATTACCTTCTTACCATTCCTAAATACCCAAACATTGTATACACCTGCATTTTCAATATCTTAGGCTACCCATCATCACAAATTCCAACAGGATTACACGAGGGAGTACCCATTGGTATCCAAGCCATCAGCAGACAATTCCAAGATCATCTGACCCTTGCAGCAGCCCTAGAATTAGATAATGTGTTCAATGGATGGATAAGCCCTTGTCCCATCAGTGTCCAATAGCATTACTTGTAATATAATGCATGTATAAGAAGCACGGTTTCTGTTGAGTAATTTGTTTGTTGATAAAATTCGTTATTGACTAAATAGGACTTGTTTCGTCGCATTCACCGCAAAGCCATCATTTTTATATCAATGCGGAACAACGATGTGCTTTTCAGTTATATGTCAAAGAGATTAACGAGTATTAATAAAATTGTATACCCTATTTTTGTCATTTTGTTTAAACTTTGCAGAAATAGTGTATCTAAATATTTCACTAAGTACCAGAAAATTTTTTAAATATTTCTAATTGGTACTTTTTCCTAAACAGAAGAGTTTTTGTTACTAGCCCAAAAGGGAGGTTAGTATTAATGTACGGAATATTATTCTCGAAACGGCATTTTGCGTCGAAACACTTAAATCCGTTTTATCACTATTCAAATTGTTGCCACCAAATATTATCGCCCTGTATGATATTAAAAGAAATTAAATAATAAAGAATCTGCATAAATGTACATATATTTCTTGCATTGTGAAGAGAAACGGAAGCTAGAATCATCAAATTTTGAATAACATAGTCCTCCACCCTAACACGTGCAACTGGAAGCCCGAATTCGCAATTTCGCTTTTCTTTATTGTCTATTCCATATTTTGTAATACTTTAACTAATTTCTGATTAAAAACCTCAACAATTTCAAAGCGAGCAGTGGCATCACTCTAGGGAATAAAACATTTTTATCGGAAACGCGCGAGACTGTCTATCGGAAATTCTAAAGATGTGCTATTTAAAAATATTTTTAATCTCAAAGTGGCGTTAACCCAAATGCTCTCGAAATGTGTATGTGTCTGTAAATGAAAATCAACACCCGTTTGGGCATAATATAAAAATCTGAAAGGTTTTTTTTTTTTTTTTTTTTTTTTTTTTTTTTTTTTTTTTTTTTTTTTAAAGCTTTAATCTTAAGCATCGTTTTCTTCGCATTTACGCCATATAAAATTCAACTGAGCTTTTCCATATTTTCCTATAAAACGATTTAAATAGTTTACAATTGCGTGTGTTTGATATCGCATTTCCGAGAGGAAGCGGAATCCAGGTTAACTTTTTTATCAATATCGAACGCTAGATATCTTAATGTTTCATTATTTTGAATAGGGACATTCTTCTATCGTAAAATTTTTTCTAGCTTTAAACCCCTTATTAATATTATCATTTCTTGTTTTAGTGCTATTAAAACTAAGTTTGTATTTATCACTTCATTTCCCTATAGTCTATAATGCTGTCTTTGCTTTTTTTTTTTTTTTTTCTAAATCTCTTCGAATTCCTTCTCCGACAATGTCGATGAAATCATCGGCATATCCTTGAAGGGTGGCATCTTTTCCTAAGTGTAATTTTAATGCAGTATTAGCTACTATATTCCACAAAATTGGATATAAAAGTAGATCCCTGAAGTGCGCTTTTGTAAAATTTTTGAAGACTTTGACACCATCTCTTTTATAGATGACTCTTTTATTATAAAGATAATTCTTCCATAAATCGTAGATATTTGTTTGACATCGGAGATCCTGGATTATGGCGAGTAGACCTAGACACCAAGGATTATTAAAGGCGGGCATCACCTCTAGAGAAATAACGCAAGTATGCCAAATTCGAGTATAAATTTCATGAATTGAGTAAGTGATCAATAAAGCAAATGCACCTGCACTGTTAGTCCAACATTTCCATTGCGAATTCGCGGGTGGGGGCATTATATGAGTCATTCAGTTTCTAAATTCGATAACTTATGGAAAAACTGCGATAACCCTTGAAGAAAGAAAAACAAGAGTAAAAAAATTAAATAATTTATTTTTAAATTTGTATTTTTAAATAATTTAATTATTAATAAGTTTTTAGTCCAAAGGGATTTGAATCCCGAGGACTATTAGTTTCGTTTTGGCATTTTGCGTCGGACTCATAAATGTCGGTTCACTTTTCAAAACTGTTGCCACACAAAATGTTAGAGTCCTGCATTATAGTTGAAGAAATTAAATAATGAAAAATCTGCATAAATGTATGTAGGTTTCTCGTATTGTGATAAAACAACGGTACCATAGAGTCATCGAATTTTGAATAACGTAATCCTCCAACGAATATGAAGCATGTGGAAGACCAAATTTGAAATTTGAAATTTGTTTTATTGATCGATTTCCTATTTTTTTAAAACTTTGTACGAAGTTTTTTGATTAACAAACTCAAGGATTTCAAAGCGAGCAATGGCAACGTTGTGCAGAAAAAAAACATTTTTATCTCCAGCGCGTGAGTATCTGTATCGGAAATTCTAAAGATATTGCTCGTTTTAAAACTATTTTGCGATATTGCTAATTGCACTGGATTATTATGGTTTAAGTGCGAGGAACATTGATATTTAATAAAGAAAAGGTAACACACAAAATGTTAAAAAAAAAAAACGCCCCTTTGGAACGTAATTTAAAATCTGAAACATTTCAGATTTTTTTTTTTTTCGAAAATGTTTTGAATTATAACCTATAAAACTTTTTACCATCATCTTAAAGTAAATGTATTTCTAAACATACCTGCAAAACATAGTTTTCTATTCAAAACTTCCTAAGATATACGCGAATTTACATATAGTGGCGCATTTGAAATTTAGCATATTTATTATAAGTGATAATAACTTTAAATGTGGTTTACGCACTTTGTTAAAATCATTTGAAAGTATGAACGATGACCTTTTTCCCGCTCGTTTACAATGAAAGGAAAACAGGTTGCTATAATTTCAGAAGTTCGCCAAGTGAATTATTTTTGGCGCAAACTGAAAAAAATGCGCCAAGATAAATTTTTAAAGTTCTCATGAAAAATTCGAAAATTTAATATCTAGGCATAATTTGAGTCATAGAATCGAAATACGGGGGGGGGAATTGGTATGTATTTAAACAAAGTCCGATTTTGTGTCACAATACCTATGGTAGAATACTGCTATATATAAATATAATATATATCTTAAGTCAGGCTTTCGAGACATGGAAAACGCAACTTGAATTTCGACAATCGGTCCATTAGAACGAGAGATTAGAACTGTTAATTTTTTGTGCAAGGTGTTAACCACACATATAACACCATTTCTTGTTTTCTAATTATTAATCATCTAACGAACTTTGATTTTCCTGTCTTTTTCCGCTATTATGATAGAGAACACTCCCTCCAAGAATAAATAATGTTCATTTCTAGCCATTGTATTTGACATGACTGTTATTTTAGAACATGATGTCCGTTACTCGAATGATGTCCTAAAACACACTTCCTTCTGCTAATAATTTCTGAAAATTATACATAATTCAAGATATCGTAATTCACCTACCTTTTTCTCAGCAAATGGTCATTTTTCCTTCCATAACACGGTAATGCGAGCATTGCAAGGATAGTCATTTTTCTTTTATTTTTAGCTGACACGATATATGATGGCTTAAAACTAAGCAGAAGTATCATTTTATTCACTAGGACACTTTTGGTAAGTATTTCAAATACAAAATCTTTTTAAAAAGTTCAAAACATACTGAGATTGGCTATTTAGTACAGAAGTACTTTTAGGAGAGCGGTGAATAATCTGAGAACTGACCGTTAGATGCTTCTGTAACTTTATGACGCAGTTTTGCATCAACTCTCTTACTCGGTACTACTTCCAAACTCATGATTTCCAATTTTTCAGGTTTGGACACCCAGATCATTATATAATGATCTGGCGATAATATTTGGTGTCTTACAACGTTATAGAATAAGACTGCGTTTCACATTGTAATTTTCGCATCTCTGTACTCGAGTCCTTCATTAAATTACTATAGAACAAGACACGTATTTCTACGCAATAAATATGGCCAACTCCGACATCTGCATATGTGAGGATCATTACACTTTGTCATGTTCGTTAACGGAGGATAATCGCATAAAATTCCCGTAAACTAATCACCTGACTTTCCAAAGGTTTTGCATTAAGGATAAATATCAGTATCCGAAGTTTCAGAGAATCATGCAACGACTATCTTCCTACGATCTCCTTTTTAGATCTTTGTTAAGTATAAGTTCTCATACAGCATAAATTTAATGAGCTTTTACATACTGTGAATATGTTCAAAAGGTTTCCACTTGTCAACTTGTAGAGACATTAAGATATTTTTGATGCTAGGAGACGTGAAATATGTGCAATGACCTCGCCGGGACTTAAACCTGGACCTCTCGAATACGGCCGATTATGTTGCCCTTACACCACGAAGGCATGCAGAAATGAGAGATAAAATACCTTATAAGCTTTATAAACTCTAATAACACTTTATAACTGTAACAACCCAATGGACACCTCTTTAGTATTGTTATTACAGTTCATTATAAATTCCAAGTTCGTATTAATCTAATTATATTTATCTATTATTTATTATGCTTATCTGTTACTTTTATTACACCAAAACAGATGTTCAATTTACGAGTAATTTGTGTATTTACAAATGTTGTATTGAAACTATATTATAATCTCTTCATGTACTAAACCATTATTTTCAAAAAGTGCCGAATGCGATTGTATGGTAATTGCACGATGTACCATAATAAGTAAACTCTAGATCAGCGGTTCTCAAACTGTTGACTAACGCGTACCATCTAAACAAAAACGGAAAAACCTTTAAAGGAAATTTTCATCAATTGTTAGTACCACCACTACATTTTACAGTAATTATTTTTCAATTTCTGAATAGAAATATTTTTTTTTTAAATGTGAAAACTTTCAGATCTGACATTACTCCCAAAGGGGCGTTTTCTAACGTTCCATGTGTTACCTTTATTTATTAAATATCATGTTCATCGCAGTTAAAATTAAATTAAGCGGCAATATCGCAAAATAATTAAAAGAGCATATCTTTAGAATTTCCGATACACAGTCTTGCGGGCTGGGGATATAATTTTTTTTTTTTTTCGTGCAGTGTTTCTCTTGCTCGCTTTGAAATCGTTGAGTATGTTAATCAAAAATACGTTAAAGTTTTGCAGAATTTGAAACAGATATTAAAACAATTTCGTAATACAAAATTCGGTTTCCAAGTGGCCATTTTCGGTTGGAAGACTACGTCATTCAGTTAGATGGTACCTCCCATTGTGAGAAACATTCATGCATTCATGCGGATTCTTCATTATTTAGTTTCTTTAAATATAACACATGGCGATAATATTTGGTGGCAACAGTTTGAAAA